ATATATATATATATATATATATATATATATATATATATATATATATATATATACCGAGGAGTCTATGGGGGGGGGGGGTTATGACCCCCCATAAACCCCCCCTGCCTACGCCACTGCATATAAGTTTTCGCATAGATTTAGAGTAGCGTCCCTTTTGTTTACATGTTTTATTACCCTTCAAACAAAAGTCTATTTTAGTTATATTGAGATTAAAGAATGTAAATGAATAGTATACACAATTCTGTAGAATAGGAACGATTGGGAGGGAAGTGACATTTAGCGCAGTAAATTTAGAGGTTAGATAGGGTATAATAAAAGTGATTATCGCCTGTATCGTGGTGATGGGAATGCAGATGGTAGTGGTACGCTTTAAATGGTAGTAGATCACGTGATCAAACACGACACTCTCACAGCAGCCCTAACAGTCATGTATAAATGTGTCATCTAGTCCATATGGTCTTTGTGCTAAATTTCTCTTTTGCACATTTTTCGTTGTGTTTTTTCTGGTTGCGCATTTTTCTGTTTCTGTTTGCGCTTTTTTCCGTTTGCGCTTTTTTCTGTGTGCGCTTTTTTCTGTTTGCGCTTTTTTCCGTTTGCGCTTTTTTCTGTTTGCGCTTTTTTCTGTGTGCGCTTTTTTCTGTTTGCGCTTTTTTCCGTTTGCGCTTTTTTCTGTTTGCGCTTTTTTCCGTTTGCGCTTTTTTCCGTTTGCGCTTTTTTCCGTGTGCGCTTTTTTCTGTTTGCGCTTTTTTCCGTTTGCGCTTTTTTCTCTTTGCGCTTTTTTCCGTTTGCGCTTTTTTCTGTTTGCGCTTTTTTCTGTGTGCGCTTTTTTCTCTTTGCGCTTTTTTCTGTTTGCGCTTTTTTCTCTTTGCGCTTTTTTCCGTGTGCGCTTTTTTCTCTTTGCGCTTTTTTCCGTTTGCGCTTTTTTCTGTTTGCGCTTTTTTCTGTGTGCGCTTTTTTCTCTTTGCGCTTTTTTCCGTTTGCGCTTTTTTCTCTTTGCGCTTTTTTCTGTTTGCGCTTTTTTCTCTTTGCGCTTTTTTCCGTGTGCGCTTATTTCCGTTGCGCTTTTTGATTTGCGCTTTTTTCCGTTGCGCTTTTTTCCGTTGCGGTTCTTTCCGGCCACCAAACTCGGCATATCTGGGAAAACTTCGTAAAGGGGTCAAAACTGACCAGTTGTATTTCCCTATATAATCTTTGTATTTTATGGGAAAAACAGAGGGTCATTTTAACGCAGACTTTAGAGTACTTAAACGCAGTATATCTGGCTAATTTTTGGCATGCATATAGGGAAATGGCTTGACCTTTAGGGAAAACTGTCGGTTTCATTCAAAGCCCTCGACGAGGGCTAAAAAGTGACCGCGAGTGAAATTTTCTTTATATGAGCTCTATTACGAAAAAAAATTTCCTCCGACGACCCCCCTTGATATTTTGTGGGGTGGTAGGAGAACACCTAGGGGTGTCACAAAAAACTCGGCATATCTGGGAAAACTTCGTAAAGGGGTCAAAACTGACCAGTTGTATTTCCCTATATAATCTTTGTATTTTATGGGAAAAACAGAGGGTCATTTTAACGCAGACTTTAGAGTACTTAAACGCAGTATATCTGGCTAATTTTTGGCATGCATATAGGGAAATGGCTTGACCTTTAGGGAAAACTGTCGGTTTCATTCAAAGCCCTCGACGAGGGCTAAAAAGTGACCGCGAGTGAAATTTTCTTTATATGAGCTCTATTACGAAAAAAAATTTCCTCCGACGACCCCCCTTGATATTTTGTGGGGTGGTAGGAGAACACCTAAGGGTGTCACAAAAAACTCGGCATATCTGGGAAAACTTCGTAAAGGGGTCAAAACTGACCAGTTGTATTTCCCTATATAATCTTTGTATTTTATGGAAAAAACAGGGTCATTTCAACGCAGACTTTAGGGTACTTAAACTCAGTATATCTGGCTAATTTTTTGCATACTCTTAGGTAAATGGCTTGACCTTTAGGGAAAACTGTCGGTTTCACTCAAAGCCCTCGACAAGGGCTAAAAAGTGACCGCGAGTGAAATTCTCTTTATATGAGCTCTATTACGAAAAAAAATTTCCTCCGACGACCCCCCTTGATATTTTGTGAGGTGGTAGGAGAACGCCTTTGGGTGTCACAAAAAACTCGGCATATCTGGGAAAACTTCGTAAAGGGGTCAAAACTGACCAGTCGTATTTCCCTATATAATCTTTGTATTTTATGGGAAAACAGGGTAATTTCAACACAATTTTTACGTTACTTAACCTCTGTACACCATGCTAATGTTTCGCATACACTTCTATAGATGACTAGGCCGTATGGAAAAACTGTTGGTCAGACTCAAAGCCCTCGACCAGTGCTAAAAGATGACCGCGAGTGAAATTCTCCTTATATGAGATATATATAAATAAATTGATCCCCTTAATATTATTTGAGGTCGTAGACCGACCCTGGAGGGTAACAAAAAAACTTAATTCCCGTCGGAAAAAGCCATTGTAGACGTTAAATATGTTTATATATCGTATTTTCTTATATAAGCATAGTAACTGTTTAAAAAAAAAAGTAAACACAGACATACATCATTCGGTTAATTTTCAAGGGAGGTAACCTTTTTAAATAATTATTTTTCAAATAATTGTATACTATTTTAAACAGAAACAGAAAACGGCAAAGTATAGCATTTATTTTAGAAAACAATACGTTGTTAATTAAGCTACGTATCATAATTAGATAAAAAATTAATTTTAAAAGTCAATGTAATATAAATTGTGAGATATACTGTTCATGGAACCTCTGTAGTTCTATTTCCATTTTAGTTATAAATTGCGTACTTTCGAATGAAAAGAATTCGGATATTAAACAACATACAACAACATCTTCTCTAAAATTAGCATTACAGTTTAGATTTAAGAACTCCACGCCTCATCCATCACCAAATAATTAGTATTCAAATTATCAAATGTTTTGAAAACCTAAGCGAAGCTAGGCAGAAAAAAATGTAAACAAAGACATACGTCATACGTTCAGTTTTCAAGGGAGGTAACGTTTTTTAAATTATTATTTTTCAAATAATTGTATACTATTTTAAACAGAAACAGAAAATGACGAAGTATAGCATTTGTTGTAGTACAAAATTAAGTTGATAATTCAGTTACGTATCTTAATTAAATTATCAAATAAATTTCAAAAGACAATGTAATATAAACTATTAGATATACTGTTCATGGAACCTGTGTAGTTCTAATTCCATTTTAGTTATACATTGCGTACTTTCCTTATTTCTCTGAGAACGGAATTTAAATATCAAACAAAAACATTTTTTCTAAAGTTAGCATTACTGTTTAAATTAAAGCACTCCTCACCCAATCCAACGCTAAATAATTAAGTATTCAAATTCTCAAATGTTTTTTAAAAACCTAAGCGAAGCTAGGCAGTATGCCTAGTTTTATATAAGTCTGTGTTTGTTTAGTGATGCTATTGGCTAATTTAAGATAAAATTTAATTTGAAAGTTACTAGACTTAGATCTAGATCTAGATAGGGCCTATGCCATAGTATGCGCGTAAATCAAGTTGCATAAGGAGACTCATAGTATTAAGTTCTACCACACAAAAAAAAAACATCAGTGACGTCACGAGTCTAGACATTACCAACCACGAACCATATCTGTCAGTTTGAAGTGCCCATAATTTTGCTCGAGAGTTTCGATCAAGGCAGACAGACAGAGACAGTGAGTTAAATAAAAGCTTGTAAAAAAATTCATTTTTTTTCATAAAAAACGTTTTAATAACAAGCTTTTATGTACTAATGCACTAAAAGTAGAAAATAAATTATACACTACAACTTATGAGGTGGCACCATTTATGGGGTGATACCGTGACGAAAATTCGTAAAATTTACTGTGAAAATAATGTTTTATCCTGTTAAAGTAACAAAACAGTTGGGGGAGAAGGGTAACACCAAACGGTAAATGCTAAATTTTTGGACGATGGGGGTGGGGGGGGGGGGGGGGGGGGGAAGGCACACTCAACTACTGAACCGATCCAATGACAACTCGTGTATATATTGTTTTGTTGTATTTTGACAGGACTTTGAATTGGTTTGGATTGAATCACATCTCTGTAACGTAGTGGTTATTTATATCTATGTTGCAATCAATCATCCCGCAGGTTTATGTTGTGTTGTTTTAGGCCGAGATTTTCTGATGCTGTTGAGTGTTTTTGGTAGAGTTGTTGTGTTGACAGACTTGTTCTGTAATGGACTCTGGTTGTAGCGTTTGGACTGGATTTTTGTGTTTGATTCCCAGATGTGCTTCATTAGTTTTGAAGGTTAACTTGTCTTCGTAGTGGTTGACTTATATTGTTTGACTTGTTTTGTTATTTTTTACTTGTTAAACAAGTTGTTTGGTTGTGTTTTACTTTTTTTTTGCTTGACGTCTTTGACTTATATTATTAAATTGTACTTACTAAGTAGTGTTTCTAAAAGCAAAGTAAAGTACCCTTTCAAACCATACGGTCGGAGGTCGGCGTGGTCGGGTCGATTAATTAAAGCTCATGTTTGCTGAACCAAAAAGTCCCAAGGTGAGGCTCAATAGCTGGTGACAGCAATTCTTCTATGAGAGACAACTCCAAAATCAAACAACTGTGCTGACCTTGTAGTTTGTTCTTGGTTGGACAAAGGCTATGGAAGCAAATCTAGAAAAAGGAGCAGGCTGAAATCGGAGGGAATTCCGTCCAACGCTATGATTAAGAAAGAAGTAAAGCCGTCTTTACTTTCCTTAACGTGAGTCAAGTACCTATCAGAACGTTGTGGACTCAGGGGCGTCTTACGGACTCGAACCGTGAACCGAACTTGAGCCTTATGGGTTAGTGGTAGCACGCTCTACTCTTCGACTACGTTGCGTTCTACCTGTTTTGTTATTTCTCATAGGGCTTTCAAGACACGGTAAACATCAGTTTTCTAGCCTTGAGCATTTCAGATTTGGGGAGTTTGGTTACCATGGTAGCTGAAGGAATAACGCACACCGTGGCCACGGTGTGGCCTGATGTTCCCATGAACAAGGATGACGTCTGTTATCTGATAGGAGGTGAGCTTTCGTTCTTTTAGCTCCGGGAGTTAAAAAAGTTTGGATAGTGATACAGGGGAAAATATGGGTTGTGATGCATGAGTATGTGTGATGGACCAAAGCAAAAACCGACACGAATAACGTGATTGTACAATTCTAAATATTAAACAGGTAAAGGAGTGGGGTCAAACCATAGTATAAAAGTACAATTGTGTGATAGAATGGGATGAAGACCCCAGCTGGCGCAAAGAGCGACACCTAACTTAGTGACGCCACTGCCTGTAGGTGCTGTAACTCTAATCAGCCCCTTCTCTGCTGCACCCCACCCCGATATATATATATATATGTGTGTGTGTGTGTAATTATAATTTCCAATCATTTAAACACAGTAGTCATGGCAACTATCTGATTATTTCCTCCCTAGCACTGCCCCACGCCACGTTTGTCCGCGTGAGTTGGCTCATCACCAGTTTCATCACGTTCGAGCGGTGCCTGTGCGTGAGCATGCCCCTCAATGTTAAGCAGATTATCACCGGCACGCGCACGGTCGTGGCGATGGTGTGCATCTACGTCATCGTTTTCCTGGGCATGTCGCCCTTCTTCATCGGCAATCAGCTGAGCAGCCAGTTCAACCCCCAGACCAACACAAGCCGCATCGTGCGGGTGTCCATTGCAGACGTCTTCTTCACCGACAACATTGGGCACAACTTCAGCGTGGCCGCGCAGTTTGGTTCTATCATCATCAGCCTCGTTTCCACGGCCGTCATCGTCAGGCAGATGGAGGTCAAATGGAAATGGCGGATCGAGTCCACATCCGGTGCGCAAAGTGAGAAACTTTCAGTGCGGGATAAGAAACTGGTGAAAATGGTATTGACGATTTTGTATGTGTACATTGCTTGTCTAATCCCCAGCTGTCTTACCTTTATCCTTGAAATAGTGTACCAAGAGAGGTTCAGCTTCATGGGGCCCAACTACAACGTGTACCTTTGTGTCGTCTCCGTTATTATCACATTTGAAGTTGCTCACAGCACTGTCAACATTTTAATCTACTACTATATGAGTGCCAAATACAACGCGACTTTTAAGCAGTTGTTTTTTAAATCGAAAGAGAGATTAAAAATGCTGGATTATTGCATGGTGTGTTGTTCTTTTTATTACAGAAACCAGTATATACATCAACAAAGATTCACATTTAAGCTACTAAGTTATTTTTGTTAAACAAACACTCCCTAAACTTGCTTTAAATGTAATGGGCCTTTACATTTGCAGACGCACACTATATAATGTGCGCATTGGCCGGCTCTCTTGGTCAAAGCCCGAAGAACTTAGCACTAAGAGCGTATTTTGTGCATAGGCCGGCCAATGCGCGCACTGGCTGGGACGTACTGACCAAAGTCCGAAGAGCTTAAACTTGACAGCGTATTTTGTTGATTGGCCGGCCAATTCGCGCACTGGCCGGGATGTCCTGGCAAATGTTCTATCTAGACTAGGTTGTGATCGCGTTTTCATTATTCTGGGTGCGGTTTCATTGAGAGTAACGTATTGTTTAGCTCTTGTTTGTAAAGCATTCTATACAAGTTTATACTCAGTTACCAGGATCATTTAACCAATTTCAATTATTGCGAGCTTTGGAAACCAAAAAGAGCAGAAGAAGTAGCTTACCATCTGCTGGATATCTTCACGACTATTGGTGCCCCAAGTGTGCTTAAATCAGATAATGGAAAAGAATTTATTTCTGAACTAAAGATCATGTGGCCTGAACTTAAAATAGTTCACGGAAAACCAAGGCATAGCCAAAGCCAAGGTTCAGTCGAACGTGCCAACCAAGATGTTCAAAACATGATGATGACATGGATGAAAACAAATGAATTAGCTCATTGGGCCGAGAGTCTCAAATTCATTCAATTTATGAAAAATCGTTCTTTCCATCAAGGAATCCAACAATCGCCATACGAAACCTTGTTTGGATACAAAGCAAATGTGGGACTTAGCACTTCAAATCTACCAAGAGAGGCTCTCGATAATTTAGTTACTGAGGAAGATCTTGAGAACATTGAACGAGAAATGGAGGTTGCCATAAATGCAACGACATCCTCAGCTAACACATCTGCTGCCGTGGTGGAACGTCAAGACCAGTTGCGTGACAATAATGTGGCCAACAGATTCTGTATAGTTTGTGAAAAACATTGTAGTGCAGCCCATTCTTGTGGATCCTGTGGCAACGATGACCATGCTATTTGCGGAATACCCAATTAAGCAGACGAAGGGTACGGAGGAAATATTACCTGCAGATTATGTCACAATAAACAAGACATCATTGACAACAGGTCAGCAGCTCATACTAGCTTGTAAACTCGAGGTGCTAAAATGTATAAAACATCAAATACAAAATTTAAACAAGCTGAAGTGGGTGACAATGTACGCATCCGTATACCAGATGTTGACAGATGTCGCGGTGATCCTCCAAGCGTCATTGTAGTTGTCATGAGCGTCGACGGCGCTTTCTACAAGTTAGGAACGGAACATGGTGTTCTAAAACAACTGTATGTTTGAAGTGAGTGTTCAATTCTTCACGAAAAACTGCTCTTATTATCGTCAGTTGGCACTGAAGAAAAATCACTACGAACCATCGCATCTTCACAATCATTGACCGGCGTGTCCCCCCCCCCCCCCTCCTGCAATTAAATTATATTTGAAAAGTAATTTAAGTTGAAAAGAAATAGAAAATGACTGATAGCTTTTGGACTTAGCTCGAATCGTGAATAAACACTGGTTACGAATCTCATGTTTATGGATATCCAAAAGAATTGATTTTCAAATGTAATCACGGACGCTCAGTAGGGTGGAGCTTTGGGATGGGTGGCAGTTGGTGGGGTGAAGTAAAGGATAACTGTGCATTTAAATCTATGGCTATGGAACGCCAAACCCTAAAAAAGTGTCACCAAGTTCAAGTACTACGTTACTGAGAAGGTTTGTATTTATAGAGAGTCCACGTATTACATTACAGGTCATGATTGCGGTCTCACAAGAGAAGGTTCGTGTCTATAATTAGGAAGAGAAAGCCAGCTACACCTTATTTATGAGTTTCGCCACAGCATGCTCGGGAAATCGGTACTTTAGACGTGTGAGAAATCAGGACAAGTTTACAATAAAGCAAACTCGGCCTGACGTATCAAAACAGTATAGACTTCAAAATTTGTTTATAATCCATACACTATTTAAAATCAAAATCATTACTGTCTAACTATTGTAAAGAATATACCCACAATAAAAAATGTGCTTAATCACACTACTAATGTTGTTAAAGTTACCAAAGTATCAGATACAAATTGAAAGACCGCGTTTATTAGGGGGATATCAATGACAACTAAATCACTACCCTTCATTGTCTTCAATGATTCGCCTTCCTCCATAAAAGTTGTGCGACGAGGACAATTCGTTGACAATATCATGCCAGCACCACCTGAAGACGATTGAATAAAACAATTTGGAAGAATTCTTTAAATTAATCATTCTGTCTTGGAACGGGTGAATCCTTAAGAAGACACAACATAACAACTCTTAACTTTCTTCCCAAAAACAAAAAATAATAAATCACTCCGTTAATGCCACCCTGATGTAGATCCCCATGGCATCCCCTCCCTCTCTGCACGCAACTGAATGTTAATTTTGTTATACCAAGACAAGTACACAAGAAAGTCAGGACTAGCGTTCATCAGGTCAGGAACTGTCTACTTACAGGCATCCCGATTGCTCACTAAAAGAACGTCTTTATCGGTCCACATACAATAGGGTATCTCTTAACGTTTTTCCCAAATTTACATTTCCCAAATTTATATCGAATTACGGCCTTTCCCAGTTCAGGTGGGTGATAACTCACTAACATCTACCATATAAAAATCAACAACGTCGGCATTCGACCATTTAGTTTTTCCCAATTGAATTCAGCAACAATTGATTAAGTTAACAAACTAATTCCGATACCAATGACAGTGCTGAAACGCGGGGCCCCTTCAAGCGCGGGGCCTGGGGCGACCGCCCGTTTGCCACCCCCTAACGCCGGCTCTGGATGCGTCAGTATCAGGTGAGAGTTCTAGAGGGTGACACCCCCACACCGCCGTCATTAAAATAAACAAAAATGCATGACACATAAATATCAATGTTTTTATATATTTATGATCGTATGTATATAGGGACTGCTAAACGGAAAGGATGCAGAGGCGTAGCAACCGATTCAGGCGCCCCGGCCGGACTATACATGTTTGTGCCTCTCTCCCATTCTATGTATAGTTATTCCTGTCTTTGAAAAAGCGTCCCCCCCCCCGTTGTTTTTAAAAAGCCCCCCCCCCCCCCCCCCAAGTAAATAAAAAAATAAATTACTATCCAATTAGATTTTCTATTTCGCTGCCACAAAATTGCCACAAAAACATTTAAATCAATGGGACAGCCTTGAAGTCATTTATTTTCGTAACTTTAACTGTATATTATTTAATACTTCATTTAAAATGAGCTTTCAAATTAATTTTTCTACCCCTTTTGGCACCCCTTAGGGTCGGAGCCCGGGGCGGTCGCCCCACTCGCCCTCACCTAGCTACGCCACTGAAAGCTTGTTAATTCTATGAGTAAATTTAATGCAGGAACAAACATTTTAATTTTATTTATTGCCCATTATGTATGTTAACTATATTATCGAGAAAAAACTTATTACATAACATAAGATGATGGTGTGTTGGTTTTAGCTTAGAGAAGTCATCAAAACAAAAACCTGGGGCGGGGACGTGGGAGGTATTGCTTCTCTAACCGACAAGGAAGTCCAGGAGAGATGCATTTGAAATTAGACATCAAACATGTTTTGTGACACATTGTTTTAATAGTTTTCTTTATTTTCATCTACACACATATTTTATCAATTACATGTTAAGGTCGGCATAATATAGACTATTTACACACACACACAAAATGCTTACAAATAATATGGACAATTTACAATACAATGCGCACATCGAGTTGATGATAGTACAAATGTTAAGAAAATTAACCAGTTAGTGTAATCGGTCGGTTATTTCCACGACTGCATAGTTAAATATTCATAAACATAGCCCCTCCTCCACCCAACTTGCTCTTCTATACACATACGCAAACGAAACAACACTGTTTTTTTCTGGTCACACAACTAGATTTAGGCCTAAATGGAGGCGAACGAGTAGACGAGAATCCTTCCATAATATTAAGTCCGAAAAAACCAAACATACAGGATTTTATAACCTATTTTAATTTTAACTACGCCGTGTATGATTTTTTAAATATTTAAATTTTTAAAATGGGCCTCTCGAATACCTTTGGTCGTCTTTGGCGGACTTTACTCGGTCGCCTCCATTCCTCTTGTTGATTTTCATTGACGTAAGAGAAAAACAACAGCTGTGTCGTAGTAGATAAAAACAAATGCATCGTTGGAAACGTAACACATTGTGTACATCATGAGCATCATGGGTAAATGTATTGGCGTTACTTCAGGAGCCATGTTACATAGAAAAATAAAACACAATAGTAGAAAAACTCACCGAAGTCTAATTTGAGTAATTTGATTATCGTTTGGCGACAGAACTTTTTTATGTACACGTTGACTGAAGAGTACTTATAAAGATTTTAAACTGCTGCTTAGTCTACCAAAACTGGCGACTACACGTTTGCAGTATTTCACCCAATGCCTTCGTTAAATTAAAAGCAAAAGTATTCTAAACTGATGCGATTTTCTGCTTACTTTTGTATTGATTGTTTATTATTTTAAAACCAAACAAAAAAGAACACAATTCTAATCAAGACAAGCGAAACATCTTTTGAAACAGACTTCTTTCTAAAACAGCTGAAAGTTTCTTTAGCTTAGACTGATGGTGCCAAGTCTATAACAGAAACGTTAATCCTCGGACGTGAGGATTTTTATTGTTGTTAGTGCTTTTCCATTCGTACCATTTTATTTCATTTTTCCCTTACTCTTCAAAGTATGAGGTTTCTAATGTGCTGGTAGAATTGAGGGTTGTTAATGTGATGGTAGTATTCCTTGTGTTAGAACTGTAGAAGAAAAGAAAATCGATGTTAAAAGAAACATAATAGGACAATAAATACATACTATAATTTATGACACTCTCAAGTCGGACATACAGTGTCATGTATTTAGTAATAAGTCTGTATATATATATATATATATATATATATATATATATATATATATATATATATATATATATATATATATATATATATATATATATATATATATATATATATATATATGAGAATCTTGGAAAATATATTCATGGTTTTTACATGAAATATGTTGTACCTTATGATTACTGCAGTGAATGTATGTGTTTGTATTAGGCTGATCCCCTAGGTAAGTTTATCTTGTATCTATGATGTATCAGTTTGCCAGCACTGGTGCCTGCCAGGTCACAGCGCAGTACACACAGACTTAATTCACCACGGATAATGATAATCTCTCTGGTATTGATTGCACGCAGTTATAGTTGATTAAAATACGGTTACAGGTCGAAATTATTGACGTCCTGAGTTTCATTCTCACCCTTCCCCCCCCCCCCCCCCGCCAATCTCCCCATCTCCAGAGGCGTGCACTGGGGGTGGGGACAGCACAAGCGCCCGCTCCATCTAAAACCACATGTTCAGGAGAGTAGCGCCTTTTTAATTTAACTAAAATGTACACCGTGGCCCAGCTGATGTGAAGAAACAAAAAAAAATTCAAACTTTCAGAAACTACAAACCTGAAACTGTCATTAAGAGTGGCCAATTGTATGTTATGTAAAAACTCACAACATGCATACCGTTTGCCTTCTTGACGGCTAGTTAATCACTAGGTCAAAACGAGGTTCATTTACTTCACAATACAGTGCAAATCCTCTCTAGCATCTATACATTTGCTGGTTAAAGTACACATTTATCTGTAGCCCACAGCCCATAGAAGGTATTCAGGCGCGTCCTATGTCTTCTTCAAAGTCTGGACTCCTAGCTGTCGCATCTTCATCTCCACATTAGCAATTCATATGATCCATCTAAGTCAAGATTAGCTTTTTTGGTCGCTTTACTTTGTGGTTTTGGTCACTCATTAACTTTTCACCCCTATGAATTGATAATGTTTTAGATGACTTATCCATCAATTTTCTGTTTTCTGTTTTTAAAGTTTTTACCGTACCAGTATTGTAGGATATATATATATATATATATATATATATATATATATATATATATATATATATATATATATATATATATATATATATATATATATCGTATAGTTCTTGCTAGGTTCGTATTTTCAATCCTTTTGGTTGACTTGGGCCACAGTGCAGCTGATTACATCAAGTGTAAATATTGTATGAGCTCCATCTAAGTTCACTATTTTTTTATGCCGTCGTGCTTAAACAGCTTCAAACGGTGCCTGTGTTATAGATTTCAGAAACCTGTTTCTAATTTATTAGCATTCACTGCTTTGTATGTAAAATTTGATTTCGACACGTGCAAATCCACCTTACAGTTTACTGCGTTGTTGCTACATAAATTAAGCGTGTTTAAAACACAATAGTGTTAAAACCGTAAAACACATAAAATCTACTTAGAAAATATAAATACAGGAGAAAAAGAATATTATATATATATATATATATATATATATATATATATATATATATATATATATATATATATATATATATATATATATATTTATATATATATATATATATGTATGTATATATATATGTATATATATATGTATATATATATGTATATATATATATATATATATATATATATATATATATATATATATATATATATATATATATATATATATATATATATATATATATATATATATTTACAATCAGGAGCTATTGCGTTTTAAAAATATTTTGCTCTCTAAAATGTACTGAAGCTAATCTAAAATATTTAATTTAAAGAAAGCAAAAAGGAGTTGCCAATAAAAATACATTAAATAAATAATGCTTATGATATGAAAGGCAAGGAGAAGTTTAAAATACACACTTTTAAAGAAAACACACACATACACACTTTTGTGTGTGTGTATATAAATATATATATATATATATATATATATATATATATATATATATATATATATATATATATATATATATATATATATATATAGGTCTATATTATCGTCTTTTTGTGCACTCACTGCTCCCCTTCACCTGGCAAATCCCATTTTGTTTTCACGTGACCAGATACTTGCCTGTACTAAGAAAATGGTTCTCAGTCTAAAAAAACAACACGTACCCAGGGTTCATGTTTACATACACCTGCAAACGGAGCTTACTCTAGACAGGTTATGGGGTACATCAATCTACAGGATGAACGCCGCTGAACGGCGCGTTTTCTCATCAAATTTGAATCCTTTACTGTGTTTGCTTACTATAAACTCATCCCAGAATGTGTTCAATCACGTTCAATTCGTTTAAATAAATCATATTTTATTCTAATAATATTTTAACAGCAATATTTACCTCCCTTCCCCCAGCCCCTATATCACCCGACGGATATTTTAATTTAACGTTATAATCTTTTATTTTAAAAAAAAAAAAAACCCAACGATTTTTTCTCAAAAAAATGTACCAATTTAGTTGATCGCATTTAACCTTATCGTCGGCGTGGGTAATTGTTACAATTTGATATACGCTACAGGCATTCGCTGAGGTTATTTTTAACGATTTTACTCGATCGTTTTAAAAATTGACTAAATTTACGGTAGTTATTGAACAGTGATTTGAGTAGATCCAGAGTGATCCAAAGACGTATTCACCGATTGCAGCTTGTTACTTTACATTTTTTAATCTCCGAGTGATCACTGTCAAATATCTTCGTCTAGTTTCGTAGCCTGGAACCATTTCGAAAATTTCTAATTTCTTAATTTCTAATTTCACATCGCCTCGTTAGGAATCAATGACACCGGCTTCGTTCCAATTTGTAGATTTAAAAAGCAATGTTTAAGTATAATTTGTATGTGGTTTTAAATTGTGTATCTTTTACTTCTTGACTTTATAATCGATGTAAAATAATGTAAATAATTGTTTCGGTATTTTGTTTGCCGGATCTTTACACAAGCCACGAATTTTTAGTTCACAACAAAGCGCGTGGCGCACATTCAGAAAAATAATTGTTTATTGGAATCAAATTAATGTAAGGTTGGCTAACGGCTTACAAAAGCGCCTTGGTCTTAACAGTCGCACTGATTCGCCTCGATGTTTTAGCGTCGCTTCATCCGCCATTTCTTTCGCAATTTTTTGTAAGCGCTGCAAATAAGTCACACTCAGTCCAAAAGTTATTCGAACATTTTATGTTCACTACGTCTCTTTAATACAACAAAATATATCGTCGTTTACAATTTTAGTTTTATTTTAGAATTTTAATTTAGAATTTTAAAAACAAGACTAACACATTGAAAGGACTCGTGTGAACATTGCTTTATCATGTAGTATATTATACAATTATGTATATTTCCGTTGAGTGTTAAACTTAACATAACATAGCCAAATATCACATGGTAAATTTCACATAGCCAAATATCACAAGGTAAACATCACTTAGCCAAACATCACATAGCCAAACATCACATAGCCAAACATCACATAGACAAACATCACATAGCCAAACATCACATAGCCAAACATCACATAGCCAAACATCACATAGCCAAACATCATATAGCCAAACATCACATAGCCAAACATCACATAGCCAAACATCACATAGCCAAACATCACATAGCCAAACATCACCTAACCAAACACCACCGCTAAAATGGCCAACTCGAGTGATGTGGGGTTGGACATGGGGCCCATCTTGATGTCTGACCGTGAGAGGGAGATCTCCAACATCATGTTCTTCGCCGTCATCATCCACCTGATCAGCATCCTGGGCACTGTGGCCAACGTCATCAATATCATCGTCTTCATCAAACAGGTAGGTCGTCACGTGACTTCAAACCATAGACGCACGCAGGGCGGGGTTTTAATTTTTTATTTTACATGCGTAGTTACATTACTGAGCGTGAATGGAAGCCTTAATTATGGATATTTTCAAGTAGATTTGAGAAAGATACTCGACAGACAGGTGGCGCCCTAAGACAGGTGGCCATTAAAACAGATAGAGCCCATGACAGGTGGCGCACTGAGACATTCGGCGAATAAGAACGGAGGCTGACAGAGAACTGAGACCGGGAAGGGGGTATCTTTTAAATGAACTTGTTGAAACAAATCAGATTTCCAAATCGTGTTTATTTTTAGTTTGCCGATATAAATAAAAAGCCGATGACCAGCATGACAAGACATTTCAAACTAGCACAAGAAAGATGGGTTACCACTGGGGACAATTGAATAAACTAGCACAGGAAAGATGGGTTACCAATGGTAGTTGGAGAAACTAGCACAAGAAAGATGGGTTACCACTGGAGACAGTTGGAGAACCTAGCACAGGAAAGATGAGTTACCACTGGGAACGGTTGGAGAAACTAGCACAAGAAAGATGGGTTACCACTGGGAACGGTTGGAGAAACTAGCACAAGAAAGATGGGTTACCACTGGGGACAATTTGAGAACCTAGCACAAGAAAGATGGGTCACTACTGCGAACATTAAAAAAAAAAAACTAGCACAAGAAACATGGGTTACCACTGGGGACAGTTGGAGAACCTAGCACAAGAAAGATGGGTTACCACTGGGAACGGTTGGAGAAACTAGCACAAGAAAGATGGGTTACCACTGGGAACGGTTGGAGAAACTAGCACAAGAAAGATGGGTTACCACTGGGGACAATTTGAGAACCTAGCACAAGAAAGATGGGTCACTACTGCGAACATTAAAAAAAAAAACTAGCACAAGAAACATGGGTTACCACTGGGGACAGTTGGAGAAACTAGCACAAGAAAGATGGGTTGCCACTGGGGACAGTTGGAGAAACTAGCACTAGCAAGATGGGCTACCACTGGGGACAATTGGAGAAACTAGCACATAAAGGAGCTGTCGGTAATTATCTGGAAAACTGTTTATGCCCAGGTTGTGCGGCAGGCAGATTAGCACTACTGACATTATTTTTTAGGTCCGTTGAATCAAATCAGATACAATGTGTCCACATTGATACCATCGGGATTACTTTAGCCATTAAATAGCTCAGCTAAAAAATAGAATAATCATTTCGATTCTGCCTGATGCAATAGTCAAGCTTAATAACCCGTTCCTGGTGTAGATTTAAACATTTCGTTTTGTTACTGAGAGATCTTCCGGAATTGTTTTACAACGACCGTAAGAAGTCATTGCACAAAATATACTTACGTCCCCAAGGGAAGTAAGTCAAAATGATTACCTGGAGTTAACATTCCAGTTATTGTTCTTTTCTTTTCTGAATTTCATAATATCCAAATCTGTAACACAGTAGACCAACTTTTGATGTTTTACCAATGCTAAATGACAAAAGTTATGATAGGTTGTTAGGTCACGTAAAGGGAAACCTTTTTGAGTATAGAGCTATTGGGTTGGCCGGCATTGTATTGGGTAAAGCATGCCTGCTTAATTCTGGTTAACTACTGGTAGTGAAAGGGTTTTTTCTTTGTTAACTTTTATTCTTGTGAGTTTAATCATTAATGCATGTTATAAATAAGCTTCTCAAAGTTTTGTTGTGTTTTGTTTGGTTGGAATGTGGTGTGTTCTGTGGCGTCACAGTCGGGTGCAGGGGGGGGGGGTGCGGTGAGCATGGGTGACACTATTTAGGGGGTGACATCTAGACCAAAAATGGTAAAATTAACTGTCAAAACAATATTTCATCCAGTTGAATTAACTAATTAATTTGGGAGAGAGGGGTGACACCAAATCGAAAATGCTATATTTTTGGGGGGGGGGGGGGGGGCAGAGGGCACCCTCAGTTACCGAACCGATCCAGTGACGCCTCGTTGTGTAGATCTTATTTTGTTGAGTTGTGACAAGATTGAGATTTATTTGATTGCATTGTGTTTTATCATGTCTGTATCGTAGAGGTTATTTACATCTATGTTGCAATGGATCATCCCGCAGGTTTATGTTCTGTTGTGTTCGGCTGGTTTTTTTTATGCTGTTGGGTATTTTTGTTACTTATGTTGTGTTGACGTACTTGTATTTTAGTGGACTCTAGTAGTAGCGTTTGGACTGGATTTTTTTTTTTTTTTTGATTTCTAGATGTGCGTCATTATTTTTGTTGGGTTTGTCAGTTAAGGTTAACTTGTCTTTGCTGTGTTTGACTTATTTGGTTAATTTGTTTTCGCTGTGTTTTGACTTATTTTGTTATATTTCACTTGTTTGGTTGTGTTTGACTTTTTGTTTGACATGACTTATTGTCTTTGACTTATGTTATTAAATTAGACTTGCTTAGTTGAGTTTTAAAAAGCAAAGTAAAGTACCCTTTCAAACCATACGTAAGGACGTCGGCTTTGTCGGGTTGGTTCAATGATGCTGCCTTATAGTTTCTTTTCCGAAGAGCCTGGTACGTCGGACTCCCAAGTCCCCTACATAATAGCGTGGGGGAGGAGAGGTGCAAGACTGCCGGGAACCAAGAAGGGTTTGCTCTCGACCCTAACCAGATATCTTGACTTAAGCTGCGGCCTTCACGTGGCTTCGGAAGAGTGCCACTAGTCCGACCAAGCTCATGACCCTCCTAACAGCAGCTACAGGTTTTTGATCTGGACGAGTAGAACTGCTGTATGCGCTAGGTTCAAAGAATGGCCGAACGCCCCCCACGATCAAGCTGGGTACCAGGCGGTAGGACGACGTCCCGCGTCTGTTGGGTGGGGAAGGAAAGCCCGGTGAGAGTCGACGGAAGTAGCGACCGACCGACCGATGTGTGGGAAACTCTTATGGTCGTAGTTTGCCACACTGAGGCCTGCCTGGCTAATGGAAGTCAACCTTCTGGGCCGGTTTCCGTATAAGGAAGGAAGGAAGTTTCTTCTTGGTTGGACAAAGGCTATGAGGGAATCTAGTCCAACGCTACAATTAAGAACGAAGTTAAGTCGCCTTTACTTTCCCTAACATGAGTCAAGTACTCATCAGAGCTTTGTGGATTCAGGGGTGTCTTACGGACTCTAACCGTGATCCGAACTATACTTTAGGGTTAGAACGCTCTATCATTCGACCACGTTGTGTTTTACCTGTTTTGTTATTTCTGACAGGGTTTTCAAGACACGGTGAACATCAGCTTTCTAGCCTTGAGCATTTCAGATTTGGGGAGTTTGGTTACCATGGTAGCTGAAGGAATAACGGTCATCGTGGCCTTGGTGTGGCCTGATGTTCCCATGAACAAGGATGACGTCTGTTACCTGATAGGAGGTGAGCTTTCGTTCTTTTAGCTCTGGGAGTTATAGGAAGTTTTGGATAGAGACACAGGGGAAAATATGGGTTGTGATGCATGAGTGTTTGTGATGGACCAATGCAAAAATCGCCGCGAACAAAGAAATAGTGCAATTTTATGTCAAAACGATGCTTTATATCCATTTTAAATAATAAGTGAGGTAGAAGGGGTCAAACAATAGTGTAAATATAAAATTGTGTGATGGAGTGGGGTGACACCCCCAACTAACGCACTGAGTGACACCCGACTTAGTGACGCCACTGCCTGTAGGTGCTGCATCTCTACTCAGCCCCGTTACCACTCCATTCCACCCCAACTTTATATATATATATATATATATATATATATATATATATATATATATATATATATATATATATATATATATATATATATGTGTGTGTGTGTGTGTGTGTGTGTGTGTGTGTGTGTGTGTGTGTGTGTGTGTTTATATGTATGTGTATGTGTGTGTGTGCCAAGTGTACTTATCATTTCCAACCATCCATGTTTCCTCCCTAGCACTGCCCCACGCCACGTTTGTCCGCGTGAGCTGGCTCATCACCAGTTTCATCACGTTCGAGCGGTGCCTGTGCGTGAGCATGCCCCTCAAGGTCAAGCAGATCATCACCGGCACGCGCACGGTCGTGGCGATGGTGTGCATCTACGTCATCGTTTTCCTGGGCATGTCGCCCTTCTTCATCGGCAATCAGCTGAGCAGCCAGTTCAACCCCCAGACCAACACAAGCCGCATCGTGCGGGTGTCCATTGACAACGTCTTCTTCACCGACAACATTGGGCACAACTTCAGCGTGGCTGCGCAGTTTGGTTCCATCATCTTTAGCCTCGTTTCCACTGCCGTCATCGTCAGGCAGATGGAGGTCAAATGGAAATGGCGGATGGAGTCCACAACCGGTGCGCAAAGTGAGAAACTTTCAGTGCGGGATAAGAAACTGGTGAAAATGGTGTTGACGATTTTGTATGTGTACATTGCTTGTCTAATCCCCAGCTGTCTTACGTTTATCCTTGAAATAGTGTACCAAGAGAGGTTCAGCTTCATGGGGCCCAACTACAACGTGTACCTTTGTGTCGTCTCTGTTATAATCACATTTGAAGTTGCTCACAGCACTGTCAACATTTTTATCTACTACTATATGAGTGCCAAATACAATGCGACTTTTAAGCAGCTGTTTTTCAAATCGAACGAGAAATTAAAAATGCTGGATTATTACATGGTGTGTTTTTCTTTTTATTAGACACCAGTTTATATACATCAACAAAATTTCACATTTCAACTATTAAAGTTATTATTGTTATACAAAGACTCCCTAAACTGGCTTTAAATGTATAGAGCCATTACATTTACAGACGTCCAATATATATATATATATATATATATATATATATATATATATATATATATATATATATATATATATATATATATATATATATATATATATCACAGACGTAGCTAGGGGAGGGCGGGTGAAGCGGTCGCCCCGGGCGCCGACCTTAAGGTGTAAGGGGCGCCAAAAGGGGTACAAACATATTTTAAAATCTCATTTTAAATTGATAGTTAGCCCCGAGCGCCCGAATGCGTCGCTACGCCTCTGATATATATATATATATATATATATATATATATATATATATATATATATATATATATATATATATATATATATATATATATATATATATAGCTAAACATCACAGGCAAACATCACACAGCCAATTATCACCACTGGAAAGCCCACCTGGAGTAATGTGTGATGGACACGGGACCTGTCCTGATGTCATATCACTACACATTTCGACCTATTGCCATGATATTTTGGGAAGGATGAGAAAACTCATAGCCCCTGCAATAGAATAACTGGTGTCTCCCGATAGCGTCCGAAGACGCCCCAGAAACATGTTTTAGTCCTCTTTTGTTGATCTCCATCTATCAGCCCCGCACAATAAAAACACATTTTATATTAAGTTAAAAACTTGTAGTTTGGTCTCGTTATCTATTGCTTAGGCGATGCAAAAGCTCCTCTTACGTTCTGTATTTTCGCCTTTTTTGTCCCTCTCGGAGAGAGAGATGAGGTCACGTAAAAGGAAAATAAAGAAGCTATACAATAGGATAACTTTAATCTGCAAGTGTTTTAGCCCTATACACTACACCACATAAGGCTCAGTGCCTCTTAAAAAAAAGATTCTAATATTTAAAAAAAAACAGCACTGTCAAAGATTTTTGTTAGTTGTAAAAATAATAAGAAGCGGATCCTAGTTGCTGGAAGCAGTTTTTTCCAGGCATCTCTTCGGGGTGGCGGAGCCCCCCATCCCCCAAAAAAATTTGAATTTATATTTCTATATAAATTCCATTACGTATATACACAATATATACTTTTAACAGTGTCCGCCCCCCCCCCCCCCCGAAAATTTCAAGTGCCCCAGGAGAAAAAAATGTAAGAAACACTGACTGGAAGGCCTACTACTCCTAATATACTTAAAAACAAATAAGGTGACTAATATTGCCAAATGAGCCGTGAAATGCTGGAATTTATTAGATTAAATACTAATTCATATTATCTGTCTTAGTTGTTGTTTTTTAAATTTAGAAATACATTTTTATTTAGATTGCCCACAAATCTTTCCTTGAATTTTTTTTCAAGTCATGAATTGAAAATAACAATAAAACAATTACTAAAAAAAACGTAAATTAGTAGAGTAAGGCCAAACGTAGGGTTATGTTTTCAAATATAGACCTTATCTAGATCTAAATCTAGCCTTAGTCTATAGTCTGTGCATAAATCTAATTTAGCTTCATAAATAGAAATCTAAATTGTAAAACTACTAAAACTTATTCAAAATAACACCCCCTCGATCGTTTTAATAATATTTAGTTCCTTTAAGCGTGTTTAAGTTTTTTAAATGTTTAAATTACATTTTGCCAATATTAAAAACACAAATCTGTCAACTCAAAGTAGACTAGGCCTACACAGTGAAAAAAATGTCACTTTGTCACATTCACTTCACAAACGCGACGTAGAATCTAGATCTAGTTAGCTAGATATCTAGAATATAGCTTAGTCGTTTAGATTTAGAAATCTAGTTAGACAAAAAGTAAAAGCCTATCTATCATTAATATCATAATAAACTAGATCTAGAATCTAGACTATAAATAAGACTAAAGTGTGCAAATGAACAGATGAGCGCAGCAACAAGTTTTAGTAAAGTTTGTTGTTTAGTAAAGTAGGCCGAACGGAAATATTAATAAATAATATTAAATAAATAAGACTTAAGATTTTTTTGAGTAATAAAGAAAAGTAACAAGTGCCAGTGTGTGTAGTCAAGTGAGTTAACTAATAACTAGTCTTTTAGATCTATTTTACTGTAGTAAAGTAGTGCATAAGTATAAGTAACATTAAGTACTATAAGTAGGCCTAAGTAAAAAGTAAGTACTAGATCTAGTTACTAGTACTAGTGTAGGAGTGTAGGGTAAAACTCCATTTTAGCGTATTTTATTCTCCGCTGCTTGTTTACCTCCAGTTGAGCGGAATTTATTATAGTAACCGAAACACACTATAACAATAACATTAGGAAAACACGATTTATTTATTTGTATTGTATTTTTGTTTTGACAAATGAATAAAAATGAATTAAAAAAACAAAGAGACAGACTTTGTTTTAGATTTTGATAATTTACTACTTTTGTCAAAACTTGAGAAAAATCCAAATTTAGAATATTGAATGTGCTATGTTCGTGTGTCAGTTAAAATTTTCATGGCAATGGGTGAAGTACGTAAACATAACTCACAATTGCAAGTCAGTTAAGTTTGTATTGTTACAAGTATCTCCCAGGCATAATACTATAAATAAACATTTATTAACTTATAATGAACCCAAAACTGAGGCCAACACAATTTCAAGCAGCTATTGCCCGAGCTATGACGTATGCTGGTAATTAAAGTCACTGTGAACTCATGGTGAACCCGCAACCGTGTAAGGATTTTTTCCCGCTGACGATCACAAGATATTAAATTATTGGAACAGTTCTAATGCTTTTTTATGTTTTTTTTTTACCTTTTCTTATTAAAAATCACAATCATAAAAAAATAACTAGATCTAGTGTTTTCCTGACGTTTTTGTGTGTTTCGGTTGTGTTTATAATAAAATACGCTCAACTGGAGGTGAACGTGAAGCGGGGAATAAAATACGCTAAAATGGAGTTTTACCCTAGTGTAGTAGTGTAAGCCTACACTCAGTACACTGGCCTACACAAATACAACCTTTAAGCCTCACTTACTTATTAGGCCTCTTAGGAAGTCTACCCCAGTGTCTGCCCCCCCCCCCCCCACCCCCCAGAGAAAAAAAGTCTGGAAGAAACACTGGTCAGTGTAGACATCATGAAATGAATGATTACTGATTTTACATTTACACATTCAATACATCACACACATTGGTTGTCATATTCATTAGTAGCACATTAGTAAGCTACTATTATGCCTAATTTTAATTTATTAATTTTTTAGTAAGGCCTTAAAGTCATATATATAGGCCTATAGTATCAAATTATTATTAGGCCTCATTAATTAATGATTAAGTAGGCTATTATATTAGTAAACATTTACCAACCAAAGAGTTGCAACTTTCAAACTTTGACTTACACTACAAAATGCAGAAACCCAAACAATTTTTAGTATTACCCAATAATTAATTGTTAATTGATGTAATTTTATACAGTGTACAACCAGTTCTCAATTGAACCAACCCGTATATGATGGATGGGCTTAGTGAGAAGGCAGCAGGCTTAAGAAGTCTTTTCTCATATTCAAACCTGGTCCATGCTATCTCTGGTGCCACAGTGAGTAGTAAACTGTCACCTTTTTACTCAACTGTGTAACATTTCTTTTTTATAAACAATATAGGCTTATATAAGTTAATATAAGCTAATTAAAGTTCACCTTAGTTATGGATATACTTCAGTTAATAAAAAAAGTAACAAGTAAAAGTTACCTTATCAAACCTGGCATCTATGGGGCAGATGAAAAAAGTTCATCTATTTCTGTGACCTCAGCTTATGAAAGGATCATGTGGTCAACATTATGCCCCACTGCCTTTACTCTCCCTGAATCAGGTACCCAAAAGAGCTGTGTACTCAGAGTCACCCTAAATTCTCAAGCCAGGGCTTCAAACTCAAGATGTTTGAGCTAGCAGTTATGCACTCTAACATTCGACCATGCTGTCCTATTAATTAAAGACAATCTACATTTGTGAAGACAAATGTTAGAAAAAAGATTTCCAAAATGTTTCTTGATTGGTGTAAATCTAATTATGCCTCTGGTTAAAAAACACAATTTTAAAAAAAAATTTTGGTTAATAATTTAATATTAAGTTAATAGAGATTAAATATTCTTTACACTTTACATGCATTTAACTAGCTATGAACAATGAAACAAACTTTTCAAAATAAACACAATTAATTAAAATCATCCCCTATAGCAAATGGTGGATATGTATGTATTACAAATGTTTGAAGAAAGTATCACTGTTAGTGAAAATGGATTTATATGGATTTTTACTTTGTTTCAGGGAAGTGTGATTGCTATTTCAGTTTTCTATCCACTTGACACAGTGAGGACTAGGCTTCAAGGTAACTGTTTGATCATCACCATTGAGACAATCTCATCTCTTAAATCAGTATTCTCCATAGCACTTTGTATTTGGCTTATATTTGTTACAAGCAGTAAAATTTTAGGATACAATTTTTATTTTAGTTACCTATTGTAGACATTTCAGTTGATGATTTCAAGCTATCATATAATATATAGTTTTTTTATATTTTTAATTTCTTTTTGAAAATCTAGTTGATGACCACAGGTGTGCTAAAAATACATTCCATGTTTTAAGGGAGATCATTCAGGAAGAAGGGTTGTAAGTATTCAATAGTTTTCTTTCTCATTATTTGTAGGTAGTATCTGCTTCTGTGGTTGTAACAGTACTGCATAAATAAAATTATGCTTTTACTGAAATACTTTCACGTGATACTAAAATTTAGCTTTATTACTTTATAACAGATCATTTAAAAACAACACATAAAAAATAGAGGGAAGCAGAGAGAAGGTAGCTTCTTCTCTTATTAATTAATGAGTTATTGTTTTTTCTCCCAAGCATTAACATTTTCAGGAAAGTTATAGCTGGTCTTTTGTGTAAATAATAGCTCAAGTTATAGATCTATATCAAGTTGTCTTTTTTTTAAGCTTTTAATTTTTAACATTTATCTGGCAACTTTGTTCTGTCAAGTTTTAAAGCCAACAATAAAAAAGAATCTCCTAAATAGGGAAGGGTTTAATTTTCACTGTTGTGGTTTCAGGGAAGGTGTATATCTAGGTTGGTTCCCTGTAGTGACTGCTCTATGCTGCTCCAACTTTGTCTATTTTTACACCTACAATGGTATGAAGTCAGCCATTGTAGGCAAGCACAAAAAGGCTTCCCCTCTTGCTGATTTATCCATGGCTTTTATTTCAGGTACTATCTGGTCTTTACCACTTATCATTTCGTTACTTCTTACATAATTTGTTAAATTGTTGTTTTAACTTTTGATCCAACTAGCAGGGCTTTTGTACACTGACTAGTTTTCATTGTCAAACACTTTTGAGTTCTTAAGAAATCTATTAGATACAATTTCTTAATCCCCGGTTATCCCAATGAAATATGTTCATTATAATATTATTAAACTAACATTATTTTAAAAGCTTGGAATTTTAATACATTTTTGTTACTTTTATTTTTCTTAATACAAAGAATTATCCTAACAACCTTAAGACAATGTAGTTTAGAAATTGTATGATTCAGACTATCATACAGGTATGATAGCCATTACAATATATACATGTAATAATATTTTTTCTTTTTATTGATGTGTTGCATTTTTTGTTGTTACTTTTGTCTTATTAGTTTTGATTTTTTACAATAATAAGCAGTGCAAGTATGTTGTTTTAGACAGTACACATTATTTTAATTTGTTGTGGTCCAAAAATTCTTTCAAATTGGTTAACATTTTTTTTTGCAAAATATATTTTATTTTATTTACTCCCAAAGCAGCCACATTGAATTATTTTAAACACTATCTCTTTATTTTATAGATTCCATTTTTAAATATAAACCAGATTGTATGGGTTATTGTTGGTTTATTTAGCATGGATTAATTTTCCAACAATAATCTAATCTGCTTTTATCTTAAAAATGTTTTATTTCACTCAGCTTGGGTCTGTATAGAGGATGGCAGTCCATGGCAGTCACAACCTTTCTCTCCAGCTTTGTGTACTTCTACACGTACGCCTGCTTGCAGTATTTTTCTGCTGTTGGTGTACAAGCTTTCCCCACACATCCCTTGCCCTCCACAATGACACTAGATCTACTGATAGCATTTATGGCAGGTACAAACTTTTCCCTAGCAACTGGCTTTCTTCATGTTATCCTGCTTCTTCTGTATAGCCAAGAGCTTTCTTTTATGGGAGTTAAATTAATGGACTATGAGGGGTGATGGTTTCTTTGCTTTTTATATTGCCTTTTTGTTCTACAAATCAGCAGGGAAGTATTTAGTATGTTATAAAACGGTTATAGTTTCAGTATTTCATTATTTTTTATTGTGTTTTTATTCTTAAAATAAGAATCTTATACTCCCTATTTTGGCCTGAATATACTGCATTCATCCTCAATATCAAATATTATAAAATAAAACAATCATTGGTAAACAATTATTTTAGGTTGAACTTTTTATGAGGATGAGTGTAAATTGACATTAGATTTTGTTGTTTAACACAAGATTTATTTATAGATATTTGTTGCATGAACTGCAGTGATATGTAACTCACATCTGAGTTTACAAGAAAGAGCTTCTAAAAATGTTTCATAAAATCTTTTAATTAGAGCAAACATACAAACATTTAGAATTGTTGTATTACAGAATGCACAATGGTTATTTTTACCACAAGTTTTATTTATTTATTTATGCAGTTTTACTTCTTATATTTCCTTATATATTTATTATGTGAATGCTGGATGTTTATAAAATCTGTTATACTTATACCCATTTTTTTTCTCATAACATTAACAATGAATGAATAGTTTAATTTTTTTAACACGCTGAACAAGAGGCCTTATAATAATTTAACCATGCATATTTTTGAGAGAAAGGAAAATATTCTCTACTTATACCTGAAGATGAGTTTGCTAATGGCTTTTATACTATTGTATGTCTCACACCTAATTAACAACATGCTTTTAATTAGGATCCAAGAAAACGTCATGCCCCTCTAGGTAAAACAAACCATAAGCATTTTTCATAAAACAATGAATGTAATGAGTGAAATATTTCTTCTAGGAGTGGTGAATGTCTTAGTTACCACACCTCTTTGGGTGGCCAACACTCGACTAAAACTGCAGGGGGCTAAACTTCACACAGCACATTACAACAAGAAGGATGGCCCTAACAAATCCCAATACTGTCGTTACAAAGGGATTGTGGGTAATTGCTTTTATTGGTAGTAAATTGTATTATTTTAAACCTTGATTACATTGTCTTTTATCGGTTTTTTTTTTTTCATAATTAAGCTTCAAAATTTCATGATATCACTGATGGGTTTTTACCTTTTTTAAACCACATCCTGATGATTCTTTCATCAGTTTCTGTACTATTCTTTTCAGACTGCATTCTGAAGATAATCAGATCAGAAGGAGTAAAAAAGCTGTGGGGTGGAACTGTGGCATCTCTACTGCTGGCTACCAACCCAGCTATTCAGTTCATGATTTATGAAGCACTGAAACGATACTTCAAAAGATTTTTTAACGTTGCTGTAAGTTTTTGTGTGTAGTAATTTATTTTTTGAGCCATGCTGTTGATGATTGTTGTAGTTAAAATGTTTTAATTAAAAAATCTTAAAATTTTCAGTGTTTCAAAAGATGGTTTAAATATTTGACTTATTATGTTCTTAGGAACTCAGCGGGTTGATGTACTTTATACTGGGAGCCATTGCTAAAGCATCAGCCACTGTTATAACATATCCATTGCAAGTTGTACAGAGTAGACTGAGAGTAGGTATCTGTGACAATAGTGGACAGATGTCCAGTTGTTCTGTTTTAGACATGGCTCAGTTGTGAATTTATTGTGTGCCCGTAACATCGTATACATTATAGAATCACCTCTAATCTTTATTCTTTGTGTCTGATATCTTTACAAATAATAGCTTCTATAAGATTTTACATATAATGGCAAAAATGAAATACTTATAAGCTCACATTTTTTTCTTCTTGTCAACAGGCTGGCTATGCCAAGGTTGAAAGCTCTCAAACATTGAGGCAGAACATCATACATCTAGTCAAGTGAGTGAGCTGTATGTTAAAGCAGCTAGACTTTAATTATGAACCTAAATTGAATGTTGTCATTTTATGTATAATATGTACTTAAGAGCAAGAAAACTGATAATAATGAGATATGAAAAATATTTGCTCAACTTTATACTTTGTTTTTACAGAAAAAATGGACTAGGTGCGCTGTATAAAGGTATGGAAGCCAAGCTGCTGCAAACTATTTTGACAGCAGCACTGATGTTTGTTATCTATGAAAAGGTAGCAGCACTTATATTTAGGCTGATGGGTATAGCATCAAAATAATTCTCTAAGCATTAATAGACGCTGTCTTCCATTTTAGTTTTTTAAGCTTGTATGATATGCTTTGAGCAAACTTCTTCCAGACTTTATTTTTTTATTGTTCAAAATGAGTGCTTGAGTATTCATTTGCATAGACAAAGAATTTGAATAGCAAGTGTAAAGTTTGTTTTTGTAAGTACATTTTAAAGATACAACTTGAGTCTTTAAAAAAATGCTAATCAAAACTTTTTGTACATTTCATGAAGAAAGTCAAATCATTTTTCTGTTTCCCCGGTGCTTAATTTACCTTGCATTTTTGTTTCTTGAACTACACTAGTACCATATTTTTCTAAAAAAATAGATACAGTTGTTATGATATTTATAAACAGATGTACATGAATAAATGACCATAACAAAAATGATAGTTACAGAAATCTGTTTTTAATCTTCTAAAAGTTAAAAAAAAGTACTTTTGTTTTTTGCTGTATATTTTTACTATAGCTGAATATATGAAAATAGCTCTTGGTTTCTCAATTAGTATGACATTATAGTTCATTATAAACATATTTGTTTATAATTTGTTACGCCATTCCAATACTTTACTGTTTGTGTTGTTACATTTTTCAAAATGAATGTCATTTATTAAAATCTCCTTTTTATTGTACAATCAGATATATTTAATCATTAACTTATGAAATATTTTTTAAAAATGTTAAATCGTTTTTGTGATTGTCTAATCTATTTAGTCCCAGTTAAGATAAAAATATGCTTTCTCAACTTACACTACAGCAAAGGGACTTAATTTATAGTTTTAGAATCAGATGTTATAGTAGAAGAAGAATTTGACATTTTGAAAAAAACAATTATTTGTAGATTACATCTAAATTGGTCAGAAAAATCTTAGGATGGATTTTTAAAATTTACATTAGCCTTTCTACTTAACCATTTTACATGGATAAATGGTAATGAGATTGCTAAGTGTTTAAACACTAACTGTTGAGCTTGACTGAATGGGTTAAGATATTTAATACATTTCCATAAGCTTTGTGCCAATAATAAGTATTATGAAAAAATATTCTCTAAATATTTTTTGTTTGTGATGGTTTATTCTATTCAGTTTTTCAGTTACAAAACAATAAAATATTTATTTTGTTTTTTTGGAAATAAATTGTTTACTAATTTAAGCTTGTTTATGTGCACTTTATTAATTTTGGAACGACGTGGCATAAGCATTAGAGCACTGCTAACCCAAAAGTCTTGAGTTTGAACCTGGGTACAATTTTCAGTAGAATATCCCTGAGTCCACCCAGCTCTTATGGGTACCTAACTCATGTTAGGGAAAGTAAAAGCGGCTAGGCAAAGTGCTGACCACGCTTTCCCTTCATATGCAGAGGTCAAGAACCCGTCTTAAGAGAAATCTTTACTCTATATTAATCTTATGATACTTAAAGACTTAATGTTATGGATTGCTAATATTTTACTGTAAATAATTGACTTGTAGTAGTTCAAACACTCAATCAACTAAAATATCTTCAAGCATCAGTTTATTATTTTCATATTTATAATACTTCGTGTGTGTTTAAGAAGAAACAAAAAACTTTAATTATGCTCTAAAAAGTAGAACATTTTCTTAAACTACTGTGTTTCACTACGTAAATAACTATAAAGAAAAACATGGGTGGCTTTTTACATTTTGTAAGGGTAGGCCTATTCAATACATAACCCATAGTTTTCTTTATAGTATAGTTATTTACAGAGTGAAGCATTACTATCGATTTTAAGAAAATCGTTTATATTCTTTTTTTTTTAGTGCATAATTTAAACAAAATTTATTAAAACGTTTTTGAATTATTTTTTATCAATGTTTTAAAAATTTTAACATAGTAGAATTGCATGACTAAAAACAGCTGTACACTGAATGAACAAATGCGGATAATAGTAGTTTATTTAAGTAACTAATTAATTCTTGAACATTAATTAATTCAGCATCCAAATAAGTCAAATTTGATATCACATTGCATTTTAATTTGATCTTGACCCACCTGCCAAGTTTGAGTTTCGCTTGCCCTTTTCCGACAAAAGCAAGTTAAATATAAGCTTGTAAAAATCAAGTAAATAATTATGCTGAGTTCAAAGTTCTTTACATAATAGTTGTGTTTTAATCTGAGTCCTTTATAAGATTCTGGAGTTGATTGAGAAGATCTGCAGCCCTTGGATCTATTAAACCGTTTATTCTCAATTCCTCACATACCTTGCAAAAAAAAAAGCAAAACATTATCGACTACTTTTTTAGTATCAATTCATTAAATAAAAATGTTTCAAAATGTGATGGAATATTAAGAATTACCTCTTTAAAATTGGAATGATCAACATGGTTAGAAGACACTGCTAATGTAGCAGATAAATTTTCCACATAATGTGGACTTCCACCTGGCACAAAAAGTAGCTCACCTGTTTGGAAATCAATGTAATTTACATTTAAAAACATGTGCATGTTTCACTGTCATAAGAACAACAGATCATTGTAAATTCTTAATCAATGTAATTTACACTTTAAAACATGAGCATGTTTCACTGTCATAAGAACAACAGATCATTGTAAATTCTTAATCAATGTAATTTACACTTTAAAACATGAGCATGTTTAACTGTCATAAGAACAACAGATCATTGTAAATTCTTAATTACCTGGTTGTAATACACATTGCCTTGGTTTTGTGAGACCAAGTAAGGGGAAGCTAGCAAGGTCAGGGTGTGCCAAATTCACTTTAAACACTGGGTCCATTGAGTGAAAATAATGAGGATAAAGTAAAGGAAGATCCTCGCTGTCAAAAAATGTCCATCTGTATGTTGAAGTATAATAAATAGTTTTAAAAATTATATAAAAAAGAATAGGCTGCTGTAAAAAAAAGTATAAATAACCAGCTTAGCTGTACTATTGATTTCTTTGTTAAAGTCACAGAGAGCATATACAAATGTTTGGATTGGATTCACTCCATGCACCTGCATGGGATTACAGTTTTTTGTAGCAACTGATATGGTATTGGAAAACAATTATTTTTTTAAAATAATAATTTAAACTGCTCTTCTAAATTGAAGTTTTATTCAATAATTTAATTTCTTCAGAGATGACGTGTATATATTAATAATCTATTAAGAGAGATGAACAAAAGATTAAAAAGTTGGAGTAAGAAGAAAAAAGTACCTCTTCTGACCTTGAAATAAAACCATCCAAAAGTTGGAAGCAAAAGCATCAACATGGAGATTACTAAGAGCACCTTTGGGTGATATGAACAAACTTGGCCAGCTGTCATGATACAATGTACCAGGGGCAGTCACATGTAGGAAGTTATCTAATTACAAAAAGTGGAAATACTTAGAACAACCAATGGCACTTTTTCATGAGATCAAACAACAGTGTAATGTGACAAGCTGTTATGGTACAATGTAGGCCTGCTAGTAACAGTCAAATGTAAAAAATTTTTTTTAGAAAAGCACTTTAAGTTACCCTTTGGGCATGTTGGTCAGTCATGACGATAAAATAGTTCCCTTGTTTCTATATAGATGAAGGGATAGTGTGACCAGTTCTTTGCCCTGCCAGTTTTACTTTACCTAATTTAAATCTAGCATCCATCAAAGCTGGTGGAGTTGGTGATGTTATACAGACATGTGACAGTGACATGAATTAAGAACTTTCCAGTTACTAATTTAGCTCTTCAATCATATTATCCCATAAACTGAAAGTCAGTTAACTTTGATTGTTTGACTAGTACATAAACAAACTGGAGCGGATTGTTTAACATTAGATTATAATAACAGATTTTAGTAGAACTGATTTAATCAAAGTATAAAGAATTTAAAAAATTACCAGCAAAATACTTTGGAATAACCAAATCTTGTGCTAATTCTGGACAATGTAAGGGAAGGCTCCAATCAAATAAATATTCATTGGTTTCATTTTTTTCAACTTTACTAATAAATTCTCCAACAGTTGTTAAACTACTTTCTTCAAGTCTTGCCCACTCCACTGAATCAGATACAGCACATTTCACTTTAACTTTGTGTGTTCCTGTGTTGTAATAAAAAAAAATATCTGCAACTAAAGAACACATAATGTGACTTAGACAAAATAATAACAAAATCCTGAGTCCCATAGAACAGAAATAATTTAGTACATTTTGTAGACAGAAAACTAAGGGGAATAACTACTAATCATTGTAGCAAAATATGTTGTATTAAGTTTAAATAATAAAAGCAATACATTATCCTAGGTAGTGGTGAGTAACCAAAACAGTGGACATTTTTTAGATAGATACGGAAGTAATTCAGTCAATATCTGAGCAAATTTTACCACATTTGCTTCATCCTGTTTAAAAATTATTTAAAAGTTTCTGCCCAAATACAGATTAAAAAAATTATAAGTGATACCTGCAACTGATTTGACAAAGTCCAAATTCCATGATGACTTCGTCATTTCCAGTCCTGTAATTATTACTGGCTTTTTTCTCATAATAAAATTGTTGACAATTTCTTCAACACTTAAATCAGCTGAAGATATTCTTTCAACCTAAAAATAGTAATGTTACTTTATTTAAAGCTATAAGAAATGAGCAATACAATTTTAATTAAAAACTAAATAAATGTTGGGAAAACATAATTAAAAATTAAAAATGAAACAAACACAAAACAAACCTCAAAGAAGGCAGGAAATTCCTTAGGAATGCACTCCCCTGTGTTCAATATCTCCATTTGAATTTTTAAAATATCACACTGTCTCTTTAGTTTTTCTTTTAACCACATGTATTCAGAATCTAAAATTATAAAAATCATGTTACCTTCTCCACCAGTATCAACAAACATGGTCTTTTAAAAAAGGAAATAAATAGATCACAGTTAAACTTTTCATTCTAAATAAATGGCCACCTTACTATTAGGATTTATTGAAACTGCATGCTCAATATGCAGAAGAGCAGTTGGGTAGTTTTCTAGCCAATCCTCTATGCTAGCAAGAGCAGCATGTATATCTCCTCTCTCATGTGACGATAGCTTTTCCTTTTGTCTGAGTAGCTTGGTTCTTTCCCCAACAAGAAAATCAATGCATTCTGTTGTCCTAAGAAATAAGAAATAAAAGTATAGTTCTACTTATAAAAAAAAGTACACCATTAAAATTTTATAATTATTTTTATAAGGGGGTAATTAATAAGCTGTTTTTATTTACTTGTTTGTATCTAAGTTAGGGTACTTAAGAGAAAATATTAACATAAATGAGAGACTCCTCTTAACATATGTTTGCCATAGAAATGGCAACCATCTTGAAAAAAATACCTAATGTTGATCATATAATTATTGATCCTTCTTTCACTAACTCGAATAGAGTCAGCTGAGTAGTTTTTGTAACAAAAAACACTCAAGAAATATTTTTTTCTCAAATTTTGTATGGTGAAATTCCAATCAAATTAGCAATTAATTTATTCTTAATTATCACTGAATTCAACAAAAGTAAGTTAGAAGATTGTGTATATGTGAACTTTAATAAGAGAAATGACTTAAACAGTAAAAACAGTATTGCAATGCTTGTGATTACCTCAAAACCTTGTACAATTTGGTATTGGGACTGGTTGCAGCTGTTGGATCCATGCAGAGATTCTGTTTCCTCCACCATCTGGCAACCCTCACACTTGCTAATGCTTCAGGACAATTTGGGATGCCTTTTAATATTATGGAAATATAGTCCAGATTATTGTCACACATATGAAAAAATTAAGCAGGTAAATAGAAAACAGAAAAAAAAAAACATACCATGAGTTGTTGTTCTTGGAAAAGTAGGTTGACTGTTTTCAATTTTCTTTTTCTTCCTAAGAGGCGAACAAGCTAAATTGGATGACTGATCTTCATATTGTAACTCAGAATTGTTTTCGCCAATATTACTTAAATTTACCGTTACAGGCCATTCTGTAATCCTCTCTATTTGATCATCCTCCATTTGTTATTCAGAATTCAAATTTCCATTATTTTCTGTGAAATTAGGTAAAAACATAAGCATGAATAATTTGATAAGGGGGGGGGGGGGGAGGTGGGATCAGGCCAACATGCTTCTCCCCTGATCCCCAGGTTAAAAATCACAAACAAGATATATATCCTTAATATCCTATCAAGCAAAATATGAAATTTTCGGGGGGGGGGGGGGGGAGCGGACACTGTTAAAAGTTAAAAGTATAGGTCTATTTGCTATATTTTTATATAAATTTCATTTCGGTCGGGGGGGGGGGGGGGGTGGGGGGCAGAAAGGCCTGGAAGAAACTCGTTAGTATTAGACTAGAACTATAACTTTAAGTAAGTAAATCTACATTACTATAATTAATTAGTTAAATTAGTATTAAATATTAATTAATAATTTATTAATTAGGCCTAGGCCCTATCATGCCTATTAAATTAATTAATACTACTATATACTATATATTATATAGATTCTAGATCTATTTTATATATATTATAATTTATATATAGAGTTATAGACACTTCGTTATAAATTATATATGCCCTAGGCCCTAGTATAAATATTAAATATTAATATTTAGCCTAAATATATTGGCAGAGAAACGTTGAGGGAAGAGGTAGAGGGTTGGTGGTAAAATCTCTTTTAAAAGTTTAAGCGGTAATCGCATTTTTTTTCTTTCCATTTTTTTGACAGTATGTCTACATTAAAATTTAGGCCGATTCTAGTCGGAATAAGATACGCATGCGATACGCATGCGCAATGGAGAGAAACTACGACTTAGCGGCGATGTTTTCGATGGTACTGCGCATGCGTGTGTTTACAACCGCAGAACCCTAATACCAACCCTAATCCTATCCTTAACCCTATCCCTAATCCTATCCCTAACCCTAACCCTAACCCTAGCCCTAATCCTATCCCTAACCCTAGCCCTAATCCTATCCCTAACCCTATCCCTAATCCTACCCCTAACCCTCATTCTAGCCCTAACCCTAGCCATAGGTCACTGCGCATGCGCAGAACTATCTTTTGCCGAAAAATCTTATTCCGAGTAGACACTTCGTAAAATTTAAGTCCATTCATTATGATTCTCGATTGAGTTAAAACTAAAAGCGGAAGTCTCTCCTTTTCCTTTCTGTTTTATCTAAGAAAATAAAAACATGAATGGTGGTTATTAATTATAAAATTGTAAGACACTAGAAGAATCTATCGATTCCTATACAGATATTGAATTCAGACATACGTTTTTAAAAAAATAGTATCACTAAACCATAAACTCACGCAATAAGATGCGTTCTATTTCATATTTACTTTTTTTGGCTGCAAACAAAAAACTGACAAAAGCGGAGCAATCATCCCATTCGGTGCCTCAAATCCAACGATACTCCAGTTGTTGTTTTTATAGCTTCAATGGTAAACGCAAATTTTATCCGGGTCTTTGCGTCATGGAGAATAAGATTGTGTGAACACCTATTTCATGAGATTATTGAATTGATTATGTATGGACGTTTCTTAGATAGAAATATTTAAAATTATGGAAAGACGAAGAGTTAGACATAAACAAGGCAATACGCATATAAGTCTTGCAACAATCAAGCAATACCTACTTTATTCAACATACCCAACTGGGTCGACACCGTCTGATAAAAGGTCGGTGCGGAAGAGAGCCGAAAGCTTCAAAATTGAAGATGGGGAACTTTATTATATTGTTAAACCCAAACGTATTGAAGGAGAGCCGCTTGATGCGAATCCAGGGGCGAACAAAGCGAATCTTCGCAAAGCAATTTTTACATCAAAGAATCAGCTATCTGTGACGACTATGGTTCATGTCCAAGGTGGAGGTAGGCCAATTTTATCAGGGCTACCTTTCTGAGACAACACTCGGAGTACTTCTACTCCTGTTGCTGTATGTTTTGAGGTCCTGTCAAGTTTGCAATAGACTTTCATAGCCCCCCCCCTATTATTACCCCACATCTTTGAAGATTAAAATAAACATAGCCCCCCCCCCCCCCCAAGAGATGCCTAAAAGTGAAAGAAACTGTGTCCTTACTTAGTAGATTACTTAGCCTTACTAGGCCCTAGGCCTATCTGAAATCTCTATCTTCTTAATGTTTTAATCTATATTTAGTATATTTATTAGTCAATATTAGGCCTATATTATTACCTATGTATAATAATAATAATATCTAGATTTATGTCTAATACTTGTCTAATAGTTTATTTAATATTTATTACTTACATCTATATATTATATACAAGTAGAATTCTATACTATACTACTGTCTCATGCAGATCAGAATAATAATGTCATTGCCATTACAAATCTGGATATTGTATCCTTTCCTTTTAGAAAGGGGGGGGGGGGAGACTGAGGTTTCAAAAACAGCACAACAGTATGCATCTGACATTGCGGGGGAATGTTCAATGTGGCTGGGCATAGTGCGGCCTAATAGTGCTGACCACACTATGCCGATGTCAAGAAACGTTTGAACACTCCATCTACCCAATGGATCACTAAGTCTAAAGAGGAACTTTATATATTTGTGTTTGTGTGTATTAAATATTACATAACATGCTAACATATACATTCATTATTACAGGTGGTGCACACTTGGGCACTGAAAAGACTCTTAATGCTTTGTCATCTAAGTATTACTGGGTAGGCATGGCTAATACAGTGCGGAAGGTTCTAAAAAATTGTGCCATCTGTTCAGCAAGCCGTCCTGCAGTATCAACACTCAACACGAGCGTGTTCTCAAATATTGGAGAGTCTGATCTATTTTTACACAACAACAATGATATGGCAGCTTCAGAGAAACCAGATGTGTTCCAACACTCTGCGCAAGTAATGAATAAACAGGAGGAGAGTCCTGGGGAGATGCAGTACATTGTTACTGCAGAGTTACAGGAGCCAGAGGAAGTAGACTCGGACCTTGATTTTGACCCAAACTGTGCTGTTGTTGATGCTGTTTTCAACCCCAGATCTGATTTTGATGTTGCCCGGAAATTTTGGCAAAAGGTTAGTTTCTTCTAACAGTAACTGTTGGTATGAAAAATCGTAAATTTTTATAGTTGATAAAATGAGCCCCGTTTTCTTTTTAAAATGTGTTTTATTTAAACCTTTTTTCTTAATAAAATTTTGTATCTTATCTTTTTTAAAGGTAGAGATTCAGCTTATAGGGCCATTTCCCTACAAGAAAAAAAGATCTGTCTATGTGATTGCATCAATGGATTCTTTCTCAAAGTGGCCAGAAGTAAACAAACTTGAGAAGGTCAATGAAAAAACTGTATCACAGTTTTGTCTGAGATTAATTGCGAGGTTAGTAAAGTGATTATTAGACAGGAAACAAGTGAATGTATTTTTAATCATATTTGGTCATAGTGATTAACTGCTTTAAATGTCTATTCATCTCAGGTATGGCATCATGGAGCAACTGTTGATCCTTGAAAATGAAGTCACCAAAGACAAATGTCTTGATGTTAATGGTATAGGCCAAAATCTTCACTATTATAATATTTTTATTTCCAAAGAAAGCACTTGTATTTTGGGTGAGTATTTTTTTTTATTTTATAATTATTTTAACTTATTTTGATTTATAAGGAAAATTTGATCAATTTCTCATTTTAAAAATATCTAGGCCTTCATATAAGGTTTAATTTATAGAATTTATTAGGTTGTGACTTGTGCTGATTTCTCTTCAAAGTATATTGACAATTTTTCTCTTTTTTTTTTGAAGATGAGTGCTGGAGTCGGTTAGTAAACAATATAACAAGATTTGTTAAGCTCTACACAGATACATGGTTTGATTGTTTGGATTTGTGCTTGATTCCGCTTAGGAATTCCCTTTCTCAGAATTTAGATTTTACACCAACATATTTACTAATGGGAAGGTAATTTTACAATTTCCTAGTCTTTTTTTATTAGACAATTTATATTACATTAACTTTTTATAGGGTTATCAGTTTTTTTTTAAATGTTTCATACAATTATTAATGATGATTCTAAATTCTTATTTAAATATGACTTCATTAAACTATGTTAAAAACAAAAATTTAAATTATTTTGATAGCTAAATACAAATCATTTTCTTGCTGTTTATTTAAAACACAGAGAACCAGTTTTTCCTGAATCCATCATTCATGGCAGAGATTCAAGTGATGCAGAGGTAGCGTTGAATGAAGAACAAATCAAGCAATCCATAGACACTGCCATGTCCCACTACCTGCAGTGCTCTATCCCAGACATCAAGCAGTTCATGCCCCTGCCCATGGGGGAAGCTATGCATGAAGCTGTAGACAGACCCCCTCTTAGGAAGTCATTGAGGCGGTCAAGAAAGTTTCACCGATTGGCTGGTTTTGATGGAGGGGAAGAGGATGTGTCTGATGAATCAGATAAAGAGGCAGATTTACAGAGTGGTAATTATTCTTTCATTTTTGTGTTATAGGAGTAGATAAAAGTTAGTTTTAAGACTGTTAGTGTTTTTTTTTCTATTTAGATAAAATTATTTTTATTTTAATTTCTCTATTGTATTTAATAGAAGATTATGATTGTGTGTTTTTTAGAGAAGATATAATTTTTTTCTAATGCTGCTTTCACAGCCAGAAAACAGAAAAATATTGGAAATTCAACAAAGAATTGTCACAGCAATGATTCGGCAATGACCAAGCAAGAAACTCAAAAGAATGAAAATGTAGATAATATAAGTGAAGAAAAAGATGAGGATAAAATAGATGACACATTAGATAAGGTTAGATATATAATTTACTTTTATAAAAAGTTATTTGCATTTCTAAAATAATAATACAAAAGCTAATATTATACTTATGTAAGTATGTTATAAATTGACTATTAACTATTAATTTTTCTTCTTCACTTTCATTGCAGATTGATTTAGACACTTATTATAGTATTATTTATTCATACAAAAAAGAAGATAACTACCCATTGAACAGTGACAATATATTTAAGAGAATGATTCGCAAAGCTAGTGAAAATTTTGTCTTGGAAAATGATGTGTTGATGTACAAACAGAAGGGAAAGTTGAAAAAAGTTCTAACCAAAATGGAAGATAGGCTAGCTGCAATGAAAGAATCACATGTAGTAAAAGGTAAGTGGCTGTACTTTTTCTTCCGTTTTTAAAAAAATTCTTATTGAAATGTCGATTCATTTTATATGAATTATTATTTCGTGGTTTAATTAATTAAAACACTGTATTTGATATTTCTTTAATACTACAGATACTAAAAGCATAGTTATTTTATTATGATTAGTTATATAGATTTTTAAAAATTGTTAAACTATTTCTAACTAGAATTAACGAGAAGTTTGATTTTAAAATTGAAGCATCTGTAACCACTAAACAGGAGAACACATGTCACGTGCTAAAGTGCAAGAAACTCTAGAAGCCAGGAACATCTTCTGGAAAGGTATTTTCATGGACGCCAGGGCTTTTGTGGGTGCCTGTCCTGACTGTAAGCACGGAGAACCTCGTAAGAGAAGAAGAGCTTCAAAAAAAGCTCTCAGGTGGCTGAGAGGAGGTGTAGAAGATGAGGAAGATTCAGACACTGATGTAAGTTTTAAAGTTTTTTATCAAAGATAATTTGTTACATAATGTAAAGTTTTTCTGGTTTTATTGAAGATAATTTATCACAAGATATAAGTTTTTCAGGCTTTTTATCAAAGATATTTTTGTTCAATTAATTTATTTTTCACCGCTAGAGCATTACTTCTTCTGTGTTTCGCCAATTTTACCAATTTACTTTTCATTTCAGAATAACATAGTGCTTCAGCTTTGCTGTGCCACAAAATGTATTAGGAATTTACTTTTTGTTTCAGCCTAACATAGTGCTTTGCTCTGCCACAAGATGTATTAGGAATTTACTTTTCATTTCAGCCTAACATAGTGCTTTGCTCTGCCACAAGATGTATTAGGAATTTACTTTTTTTTTTTCAGCCCAACATTGCCGGGGACATTGGGAAAGTTACAATACAAGAACTCATTGATTACCTTAGGAAAGATGTAGAGCCTGATGGCCTGACAAGATCAGAATTGCTGGGGTTTAGAAAAAAAGCTAAAAACTTCAAACTAGACAAGGGAATATTGTATTACTGGCCAAACAAAAGATTAGATTTAAAACCTAGGAAAGTCCTAAAGACGGAGAAGGAGAGGCTGGAAGCACTGAAGAAAGCACATGGTGGTGAGTTGTGCATTTCTGTTAGGTGTCTTTTTTTAAAGTTATTTTATTTAAAACTATCATTTGAATAAGACTTTTCAGCTTTTACAGTTAAAAGTATTACCTTAAACAAAAATGTTTTTTTGTCTTACTGTAGGCCTTATAAGATTACTTTGTATTGTCTTGTGTTTATGATGGTTTATAAAATGTTGTTACCCATTCCTCTCCTCTCTCCTCCTCTCTCTCTCCCCCTTCCCCTCCCCCACTAGATAATCATGCTGGAAAAAATGAGATGATGGAATCTTTAAAGAAAAGTTGTTTCTGGCAAAGTATGTCAGAAGACCTGGACCAGTTCCTGTCCAAGTGCTGCCAGCCAGAGTCTGGTGATGAGGACATGGATAAAGACCCAGCACTGGAGCAGAGGCTCAAGTTGTTTCAAGATTACTTTGCTGGCAAGGTAGACCACTTGCCCTCTTTTATTTTAGAAAGGTATCACCTGGTTTACTTTTATGTTAATATTAAATGTCTACAGTCACATTAACTTAAAAATGTATCCTTTCTTATCAGGATATCTGCCCCAAGCAAGAGTCTTCAGAACAGCTACTCAATAAAAAAGGTAAGCGTATAAAAGAGAATTGAGCGTTGACTTGTAATTAATAACTACATTCTAAAAAAAAAAATTAAGATTTAATTAATTTAATAAACATTATTTTATAATTTTTAAAATGTTCATCGCTATCTAGCAAGACATTATTCTGATTAGTTTTGTCTGGCGACTTTACAATACTTGTGTTGCTATCTCCTTCCTTTTGCTGAACCTATTAAATATCACTTGCAGTGATAAATTACTAGTTTGGCTCATTCTCTAATAACTATAACACTATTAAAATTACTGTTATATTCAGATGATTCCAAGGAATTACAGAAGAAAAAAGATCTAGTAGCGGCCGCTATGGAAAGTGCCATGTTGACTGTTCCCAACTCAACAGAGCTGTGTGTTCCCGCTGAGGAGTCTCCAAGTGTATTAGGTGTGTCAGCCAGTTCAGATCATGAAGGTTTCCCAGCTAGTCAGACTCCTGATACTTCCCTACAGAACCTTTGTCAGGATCAGATCTCACCCAATGATGCCCACACCACAGGTAGGCCTATATCATTCATAGATGGCAGTCAAACTTCATGCGTATATTTAACTGTTTATATCTTTACCTCAGTTAATTAACTTCATTAGTTTAATATGGTTTTTTACTATGTTTGTGAATTTATAAATGTATCCTTATCCATTATAAATTTAAAAACTGACAGACACTGTTTCAGCGTGGAATAAGATGTGTGTTCATTAATTTAAAAAACAATTTTTTTGGTCATACTGCACCAACTAGTTTGAATTTGACATTTGTTAGATCTTGTCTAATTTTATGTTGCAGAACTTAAGGTAGAACAAGATAAAGAATCCATTGACATGAATGATGAAGATGAGGATCTTGTTGATGGTTTAGAAGATGAAGATTGGAAACCTATGCAGGAAATAACAGAAAAAGGGAAATCAAATTCGGTAATTTGCATATACGCTTATTTAAAAAAGTTATTTTCTTATAATAAAATACTGACTGGGATAACTGTGTTTGATCATGTGGTGTAACAGCTGCTGTTTAATTCCTAGTTATCCACCCCTGGAAGAAAGCCAAGTATTCGCAGGAGATGTGAGACATGCCAGGAAGTCATAAGGGGAGATAATAATTTCAAAGGCAAGTGATTAGAACTTTGATCCCTCAATATTGATAAGTGATATCCAATGCAATGCTTTACTTTATGATAGGTATTTGTTTTGCAACCTTGATGCAATGTATAGTTTATCTTATTACTTTTCTAGAACATATGTACAAACATACTGGAATAAAGCCCTTCAGCTGTAACCAGTGTCACAAAATGTTTACTAGCATCAAGGGACTTAATATGCATACACGTAAACATACTGGACATCGACCGTATCTGTAAGTCAGTTATATCACTCTATGCTGGTTAAGTTTGCTTGTTTTTTTATCCATCTTGAAATGTAGTAAAGTTAAACCTTGAACTTGAAGCCACAGTGTATTGCTGGAATTGAAGAGTAAGTAAGTACTAGCCAAGCTTGTAATGTTAATGGTCGAATGGTAGAGTGTTCAACTGCTAACCCAAAAGTCTTGAGTTTTGATACCGGGCTCAAGTTTGTAGGACATCACTGTACACCTAGCTCTGATGGGTACCAGACTCACATAGGGAAAAGTAAAGGTGGCTGGGCATAGTGATGAACTCTATTTCACTTGCCCTTATGGACCATAAGATTTGAAATGGTAACTTTACTATTAGCCAAGGTAGCTTTGTAACCCTAATCCTATAATGCTCTGACTCCTAAGTGTATTTGTGCATGCTTGCAGGTGCAATATTTGTGGGCGAGGTTTCCCCAGATGTGCCTCACTGAGATACCACATCAAAACCCACGACAAAGGTGGCGGCGTCCCCGTGGTGTGTGACATCTGCAGCAGGTCCTTCACCACAGAGAACCGCCTGCTCAAGCACAAGCTGTTCAAACACCCGGCCCAGGCCCCAGTCTACATGTGCCAGCAGTGTGGGAAACACTTCACAGCCAAGCGCAGTTTGAAGAGGCACGAGGAGGCTCACCAGGGGATTAAAAAGTACGAGTGTCAGTATTGCAAGCGCAGTTTTTTCAGGAAGGAGTATTTAAACTACCATTTGGTCTCACATTCTAATGAGGACCCCACATTAGCCAACTATAAAATGAAGGCAAGTCAAGTTTATTTTATTTAGTGGCATCTATAAACAATTGACAAATAGAAAGTCTATTTCTTTAGTGAAAAGTTAGCATGGGTTTTTTTTTTTTCGTTTCTTTTTGTCAGTAGAATCTACTTAAATGCTGAGATATTTTATCCCAGTTGTGAATTTTTGAAAAGCAATGAGGCCTATTCACATGTTTAATGTTTCGTTATGACAGAGCAAGCTGAAAAAATCTCTAGGAATGGAGAAGAAAAGAGATTTCTCTACAGGACTGTCCATAGTGTGCCTGGACTCTACAGGTGTACCAGTGACACAGGACCATGAGATGTACAGCCAGCTGGTGGAGGTCACTGACCCACAGGAGTGGACTGAGGTAAGATGGACTACATGGGCTTCTATTGATTCTTTCTCATACTTTAAACAAAACATACTTTTTAGAGGCATTAGTGTCAAAATGTATGTTTATTAAAAACTAAGAGGCTGTATTTAGATTCAATTTAAAAAAAAATAGTAATGATAGTTTTTTACTTGAAAGAAATATAAAAAAAACTAAGTTTCAACCAAATCTCATTAGTTGTATTTAAAGCATATTTATTGGATATTTTGAATTTAATTTTAATTTGAAGATGTGAAGCTTCGTACCTTATATGCTAATGAAAAATGCTAAAAATGTTTTTGTATTCAGACAATTGGTAAAATTTTATACCTTGTATGGTAATGAAAAAAATAGAATGATGTTTTTTTTATTCAGGTGTAGGGGTAAACTTTCATACCGTATATACCAATGAATAATACTGAAAGAAATGTTTTTCTGTTCAGGTGCAAGGAGAAAGGACTATAGTGTACGGTCTAGAAGGTAGCCAACGGGTGGAGGAGGTTGATCAAGGCACGGGGGAGGAAACAACTGTAGCGGTCATGGATGGCCACCCAGACGGCATGCAAGTCCAGCACATCATAATGCCCGGTGACCACCACCACCACCACCCCGGGTCTGAGCTGACCCTGCACCACCAGCCTCAGGTGACCCACCAGCTGGAGCTGGACCAGACCCAGACCATAGGGGTCACGATACCGGGCGGCACGTTCACGCTGCCCAGCGGCGGTCAGCTGCAGACTATAGACTCTGGTCAGGACACTGTCCAGTACCACGTGGAATGTTTACCCGGTGAAACGTTGACCGAAGCAGACTTTAACGCCATTAGAATGTTAGCCCAGGCCTCCCTTGGTGGTACTCATCTACTCCAGCAGTGAGAGTCTGGATCTATTTCGTCCCTAAGGGATACAGGTGTACACTTGTACATACACAGTCTATATAAATATATATATATATATATTTTTATTGCAACTTTCAGGCTTAGATTTGCTGTTGGATATTTTTCAGCAATATATGTTATACAGCCTCGGTGATAACTGGGGGGTGAGGAGCTATAATAAAATTAATTTATGGCATTTGTTTTTGTTATTGATTTAGGTAATGCAGCTTTATAGGAGAAAATATTGTGTAAATAGCCAATGTCAGTGTAAAAATTGTTTGAATAACATCAGTGCTACAGCAACATTGTTGCAATACAGTCTTGTGTGAATGGGGATTGTAGCAGCTGTGTGGTAGGTGATTGGATTATAGTTGGGATTGTGGTAGGTGATTGGATTATAGTTGGGATTGTAGCAGCTGTGTGGTAGGTGATTGGATTATAGTTGGGATTGTAGCAGCTGTGTGGTAGGTGATTGCATTATAGTGGGGATTGTAGCAACTGTGTGGTAGGTGATTGGATTATAGGGGGGATTGTAGCAACTGTGGTAGGTGATTGGATTATAGTGGGGATTGTAGCAACTGTGTGGTAGGTGATTGGATTATAGGGGGGATTGTAGCAGCTGTGTGGTAGGTGATTGGATTATAGTTGGGATTGTAGCAGCTGTGTGGTAGGTGATTGGATTATAGTTGGGATTGTAGCAACTGTGGTAGGTGATTGGATTATAGGGGGGATTGTAACAGTTGTGTGGTAGGTGATTAGATTATAGTTGGGATTGTAGCAACTGTGGTAGGTGATTGGATTATAGTGGGGATTGTAGCAGCTGTGTGGTAGGTGATTGGATTATAGTGGGGATTGTAGCAGCTGTGTGGTAGGTGATTGCATTATAGTGGGGATTGTAGCAACTGTGTGGTAGGTGATTGGATTATAGGGGGGATTGTAGCAACTGTGGTAGGTGATTGGATTATAGTGGGGATTGTAGCAACTGTGTGGTAGGTGATTGGATTATAGGGGGGATTGTAGCAGCTGTGTGGTAGGTGATTGGATTATAGTTGGGATTGTAGCAGCTGTGTGGTAGGTGATTGGATTATAGTTGGGATTGTAGCAACTGTGGTAGGTGATTGGATTATAGTGGGGATTGTAGTAGCTGTGTGGTAGGTGATTGGATTATAGTGGGGATTGTAGCAGCTGTGTGGTAGGTGATTGGATTATAGGGGGGGGGCACGTTCAAGTTATTGTAAACAATAATGAGGGGCGTATGCTACGTCGCGGGTCAGCTCGTATATATATAATTCTCTTCATGGGGACCATGCGAGACACCACATAATAGCACGCCGTTACTCCGCCGCTCTCTGTGCATATAGCTACCACCTCCACCATTCTGGTGAGCTGTGGTTCACCCGGAATGTTTACAAACGTAGAGTCGGGTCGAATAGTGCTGGTAAGTAGGTCACCAACGGCTCAATAAAACCTGCAAGAGCCATAGAACTGGTTGGTGACCTACTTACCAGCCCTATTAGTAACGGCTATTTGGGGCAGATAATTTATCTTTGAAACTAAGGAGAGGTAAGAAGTTCTGCTTGATCTTTTCATTGTCGTCCGTAAACTGTCGTCACGGACGGCTGCTTTCATTGGGGGGGGGGGGGGGAGGGAGGGAGGGTAGTGTCGAATTCACTAACTATGAAGTACTGAAAAGTAGAAAATAGAACAACTAAACAGCGGCGTATGATACGCCGCAGGTGAGCTAGTTTGGTATAATACTTATATATGAAATTTTGTCACCATAACTGAAACGGTATTCAAGTTATTGTGTTCACAGACACACTCACACACACATAGACATGCAGAACTAAATTTTTCCGACTCTGGGAGGCGTAAAACATAGCGATATGTGAAAATCTCCATCTCGATTTTTTGCACGATTACAATACTTTCTCTACACGAGAAAGTAAAAACCAAAGAAACAGAAATGCTGTTTTGTAGTCTCAAATTATTAGCCGCTTAAACTTAAGGATTGTATTTTGGAAGATTTTAAACCGGTAAGGACTACATACAAAAACATGACTTCCTTTAACCAAACAACTGACCTAAAAATGGCCCCGAAAAAAAACCCCCACTCTAAGCCCCTATAGATAATGAGCGCTATTGCTCAGAGCGTTAGAAAGCACTCTATTTATCGGACTGCTACACGACTAATGTGTAAACAAGTACCACGCCTTACAGTCGGCCCCGACAAATCCGGTTATCAATACCCGAAAGGTATGAAGGCATTCAACGAGGCGTCCTGTTATATTGTTGATAGAATGATTTTAGTCACTGGGTTATGTTGCTCGCGAGTTGGTCTTGTGCTCTTTTTTTTCTAAGAGTTCTTTTAGACAAGGGATTTAATTTGTAGATCTACTAGTTATATTTTGTTTACAAAAGTAAAAATGTATGATTGGATAGATCGATGTGCTTATTCGGTATAAAGTAGCTTCTCACAGCTTATGCGAGAAATGTGAACAATTGTTTTCTTCTGGATGTACAAGAACCCTATGAACAATACAAAACCTCGCAACTTGGCCACCAAGGACGGATACTCACCAGCGGGTAAAGTCCCTTTGTATTGGAGGATTTGTACACAATGGCGTAAGTTATTTTTTTCATTACATCCATCCAGGTTCACATTATATATTTTTTTTCATTTCGTGACCAAGACACATGGTGCAGATGAAGTAGAGTTCATCTGTTTCAATGACCTGGTCATATGAAGGTATATTTTGGTCAGCACTATGCCCGGCCGTCTTGGTTTCCCTAAAGTGAGTCAGGTACCCATCCGAGCTGGGCGGACACGAAGACGAACTATTGACTCGAACCCGACCTGTTCACATAAGTACCTACCGCTACATTTAAAACACTGTTTTTATATATTCCCCTGCAGTTTAAATTAAATGAAACGATGTTTTATGCAACACACAAAGCGCATTTTCCGGATGCTCAGTTAATTTTTCGGACTAGCCGTTTAACGTCCACTGTTTCCTCCAGACTTTATTCTCCGGGTGGGGGTGGGGAGGGGGGGCGGACTACAATTTCTGGAAGGCGGGGGGGGGGGGGGCGGACTACATTTTCTAGGGGGGGGGGGGCGCCGGCCGGACACTGGTAAAAGTATGTTCTCTATATAAATTCCATTTCGTTCCGTGGGGGGGGGGGGGGCTGAAGACTTTCTTCGTAATAAACGTATATATACACATGCATATACACGAGTATATGACATTTAATTTAACTATAAACTTATGTAGGCCTAAACACAGATACATACATATACCTATTTTTCACTGGGTGGGGGGGTGACACCCAACATAACGATGCCATGGTAATATATATATATATATATATATATATATATATATATATATATATATATATATATATATATATATATATGTGTGTGTGTGTGTGTGTGTGTGTGATGTGTCTGTCTGTCTGTATCTGTGTTAGTGTGTGTATGCTTACATATGACGTAGAGTATATAGTGACGGCAATTTTTGACCTGCAAGTTAAAATGTACGGCCCACTTGGGCCTTCTGTGATCTCTGAATGTTCCCGTGTGGCCGTCAACAGGTCGGACAAGCCTGGAGTGTTGTACGGTGGCCGCCCGTATAGAAATCTGAACCGTGCAGGGACGTCATTGGTCGACATTCAACAGTGGGGGGAACAAAGCTATGGTACGGTCTCGGCACGGTACACAGCATTCACTGCTGGCTTGTGCTGGTCTATTAACAATGCCTTTTGTCAAGCAACGGTTTTTTAAAAACATTTTTTTTTAATTTTTTAAAATTATTCGGAATAATATTTCAGATTAAGTTTCAGATAATGATGTGTAGTCTGGTTAAAGATCCTTTTGGGAATAATCTGCGTGGTGTGGTTTTAAATGTTTAGGATATTGAGTAAGTAGATACATCCGTTCGTTTCGTCGGTGTTTGTTTATATTTTTACGTAGTCCTGAATAACTTGTTCATAGTTAACTATTGGTGTAAAATTAATGGGGACCGTTGAATATAAATGGTGCCACGGCTTGATAGGGTGGTAGACTGTTCGACTTTACAACCAGGAAGTCACGTGTTCAGATCTCAGTCCGGGCTTGAGTCTGTAGGACTTCCCTGAGTCAACTCAGCTCTAATGGCTACCTGAGTCACGTTAGGGAAAGTAAAGCCGGTTGGGCAAGGAGCATACCAAAACATCCGCTGAGGTAAAAAAAAAAAAAAAAATTAACTGTACTTCGGGTGGGGTGCAAATCGAAAGTTTGTCGTCGGGCGCCTGGAAGGGTCGCTACGCCTCTGATAATACGGGGGCACGAAAAAAATTGCGGGGGGGGGGGGGGGGCGCTTTTAGTAAGTTTTGCCTAGGGCGCTAAATAACCTGGCGCCGGCACTGTATATATATATATATATATATATATATATATATATATATATATATATATATATATATATATATATATATATGCCTTTACTTTTAAAGGATTGCGTTTTAAAAAATCTAATTTTAATCCTATTCGGATTCTAATTGTATTCGTATTTTTAAATATTTAAACATGAAGGCACGAGTTCTGCACGTGATTTTTACTTATGCTTACAAAGTGTACCTCTCTCAAAGTGCTACCTACAAAAGCGCTCTGGTGATCAGTGCATTGGTTCTCTTGTAAGCAGTGGCAGAACTAAAAAAAAGCAAATATATTTACACACACACACACACACACACACACACACACACACACACACACACACATACATACATACATATATATATATATATATATATATATATATATATATATATATATATATATATATATATATTCAACATTTCTGTTAAAAGTTATGAAGGCGAAAACAAATTTATGTACATAAAAATCGAAATCACTTGTACATGTACCATATTCTTTTTTTTTTTTTTATTATTTGTAGCCCTATGGAAACAACAAACATGCTTTATTATGCATTGGGAAACTTAAAATGTTCATTTTAATAATGGATTTCCGGGCCTCAATAGACGCTACAAAGACTTTGGTCCATCATTTAGTCGTCTAAACTAAATGTCTGGCGACACCTTGAGCTATTACTATGGTCTTTGAACCGGAACAAAAACAGCTGTGTTTTTTTCCTTTGTCGACACGCATCAATGCGTGTATAGTATCACATGTTAGTGATATCTATACCTGACACCCAGTAAACGGTTCACGTTTAAAGGGATAGCTATACATTGAAGGCACATTATTTTCTTTTACAAGAAATTCCAGTCTTTCCTCCACCCCCCCCCTGTCATAATTACGTCACAGTTCACAGCAGCCGTTATATGGTATATTCGGGTAGTTTTTCTTTTAACGTAAGTGGTTTTTTTAAAAGGAATATTTTTTTAATATCACGAAATAGACAGTAGATAGTGTATTTACAGCTAAACCAAAAGCCATATTAAAGCGCAAGCTTACAATTACAATTACTGAAAGTCTAAAATTAGGGCTTGAAAGTAGGTCACCAACTTCTCGTATTCTTATTTTGATAGCTAGTAATTTTCAAAGTTATATGCCCGCATATTAAAATGAGAAGCTCAAACATTGATTATCCTAGTTTTGAGACATTCCTATACGGAGCACCGTCTCCACGTAAGCAATCCCTACTCCGATCAAAACCAAACCTCAGAAAACTAGATTTCTCATACAAGGTTACCTCTCAATAATTTAGTGTTGGAAAAAAAAAATTCTAATTTATTCAAACCGATTTTTTTTTCTTCTCATTATTTTTTCATGTCCTTCTTTCACTCGCCGAATGTCAGTGTGATATAATGAGACGAGAGAAGTAATAGGTTATCGATTCTGCGGACTGCCCACCGGCTCTGATATAATAATCGCTGGGGGAACCTTGTATTGAGCGCTGGTAGAGAAGGTTTTGTGTAGCCTAAATACATTCCGCAAGTGACACACCCAAGCGAAAACAACACATTACAAAGTGCACACGACCGCCTACAAATGTTACCCCCATTTCCTCCTTCCTCCCAAAGGTGACTGCTATAGTCTACAGACTACGATATAGTTGGCCGCGTTCTATTGATAACAAGTTAGCTGAGACGGCGCTTTATTTTAAAAACCGCTCCTGTATACCCGTCAAGTCATGTTGTCATTACATTTAACGGGGACACGTTCAAGTTATTGTAAAAAATAATGAATAACCAGGAATTAAAAGCTGTTGAGGCACACACACACACACGGGAAGTTAGTTTTTGTTTTTCGTTTTTTTTTTTTCATAACATATTTTTTGTTTATATTTTAAAACAAGAAACTGAAATTTCACGTGAAGATTTAATTCAAAATTTATTTGTTAGGATACCGTATTTTCTAAACCTAAAACTAAGCTTATATGGGAATTCTCCATAATTAAAGGAACCCTTTTAAGCATGGCGGTGATGGGGCAGGTGAAGTAGTGTTCACCTGTTTGTGACCTCGGCATATGAAAAGATAGTGCCAGCACTAAGCCAAGCTGGCTTTACTTTCCCTAAATTGAGTCAGGTATCCATCAAAGCTGGGTGGACTCATGGACGTCCTACGGTAGTACGGACTCAAACCTGGTATCCGAACTCGAGCCTTTCGGGTTAGCAGTCATACGCTCTACCACCCGACCACGCCCTCCCCCCTTCTTCACAGTAGCGATTATATTTATAAACAAACTTCCGCGTGTATAACCTAAAACCTGTGTTGTAGACAGATTTTTTTTTCTTACAGGTATCAGACAAGCCTTCGTCATCCTGATCTGGGTCTTCGCCTCCATCTACATCTGGGTGTCCAGCCAGACGTCATGTGACCCCAAACACAACCTTGACCCCGTGGAGTCGGCGGGCCGGAACTCTGACCGGCTGTACACCCAGTTCCAGAGGGCGCCCGAGCAGACGGATAGCTTCCTGCTGAGTCACGCCAAGACGGAAGTCCTGTTCGTGGACGTGGCGCGTGCGTGGCTGCCCCAACATCAGCAGGTTAACCCTAAATCAGTTGACCCCAAGTCGGTTGACCCCAAATCAGTTGACCCCAAGTCGGTTGACCCCAAATCAGTTGACCCCAAATCAGTTGACTCCAAATCAGTTGACCCCAAGTCGGTTGACCCCAAATCAGTTGACCCCAAGTCAGTTGACCCCAAATCAGTTGACCCCAAGCCAGTTGACCCCAAGAGGTCAGAAACCGTCGCCAGGTTGTCGCAGTTGGTGGCCGAGGTTGAGGCGGAGAACCAGAACGTCACGTTCGCGTCTGCTGTCCGCCGGAAGTGGGTCGGGTTTCCGGAGATCGCCGGCCATGACTGCAGGACAGCCCTGCTCACTAAGACCAACAACAGCCTGTTCCCCCAGACGGTGGAGCGGGTCAGCCAGATCCAGTACCTGGCCGACAGCACCGACTGTAAGCGCTTCAGGGACAAGTACGGCTTCAGCCGCTACCCCAGGGCCACGTTGGAGGAGAAAAGTTTCCCGATAGCTTTCATCATCCTATTTTATAAGGATCTCGATCAGGTGATCTATAGCTTTCATTAGGAACACTTGTTTACGATGTGAGGCGAGGAGCAGGTGGGATTGGGGGGTTAGAAGAAAATTACGCCTTGCAGAGTAGGGTGGAGGAAAACTACGCCTTCAACTTTGGTGGGCGAGGGATGTCTGCTGTCTTCTGACAATATCTGGCGATAGGTGTTTGGGGGGGGGGGGGGGGTGTAAAATACGGCTTATGTTTACAGGAATATTAATACAAATTAAATAAGTGTGTTGGGGGAGATGGCGCTGAAACGCGCTTGTCGTTTCTTTGAAAATAAAATATTCTTTTGTAAATACTAAAAGTAGTTGTATTTTTAAAACTTTCGAGGGGGTTAGTGGACTTACTTGGGGGGGGGGGGGGGGGGGGGTAGCGAACATAGGTTGAAGTATATATTTTGTATATAAATTAATTTTTTTTCGGGGGGTGGGGGGAGCGATAGGCGTGATTCGTGAGATACTTGAAAGAAATGTAAATACAATACAACGTTTGATTCCCAACAGGTTTTGTTCCTGCTCCGTGCCATCTACCGGCCCCACAACGTCTACTGTTTAAGCGTGGACACAAAGTCCAGCGTCGAGTTCTTGGAGGCGGTCAGAGCTGTGTCCAGATGTTTACCAAACGTCTTCGTGGCCAGCAAGCTGGAGAACATCGTGTACGCCGGCTTCTCCAGGCTGATGGCGGACATCCATTGTATGGAGGATCTGCTTCTACATCCGGTGCAGTGGAGGTACGTCATCAACATGCCTGGACAGCAGTTTCCGTTGAAGTGAGTTATATTTTTTTACATAGGAAAAAGTTCTTATTAATGCTCTTGAAGAGTAACCGAGTTTTAAATCTTAATTTTTTTTCTATTGGTAAGAATTTTAGGACATGGCACATGGGGCAGATGAAGTAGAATTCATTGACTTCGGCATACAAGGAAATAATGTGGTCAGCCGCCTTAGTTTCCCTAACGTGAGTTAGGTACCCATCAGAGCTGGGTGGACCCTGGGAACTTTTTACTATTCTGAACCCGGATTCGAACTTGATACTTTCGGGTTAGCAGTCTAGCTCTCTGATTATGGATAGGATAGCGATACTAGCATAAATAATACATAGCTGCGAAACGATCTGGTAAAGTTTATACACCTAGCATAAAATTTAGAAAATGATGTAATCTTGTTGACCAACTGATTCAACTGTAAGCGAAAAAACAATAACTTTAACTGGAGTACTCACATACACACACACAAACACGTTGAATTCGAAATAAACTTTAATGAGGGGTCGGGGGTGACAGAACAGGTGGAAGGAGGGGGGGGGGGGGGTAAAACTCAGCTGACGTGAAGAAAAATAAAATTAATTTAAAACTTACGTTTTTTAAATTGAACAGACAGTCGTTTGGCACAGATTTTTAGATTTATTTTTTCTCTGATACCTTCTCTTGAATGAATGTACACTAAAATGCATATATATTCTTGCTACACATAACTGTTTATTCATGTTAGATGACCGTTTATTCAAAGTTGATTTGACCCCCCCCCCCCCCCCCATTATTATCTCTCTCCTCCATCTCTCCAGAACAAATCTGGAACTAGTGCGAATCCTCAAACAGTTTAACGGTGCCAACGATATCGAAGGTCTGGTGGGGGACATGCTAGTGTCAGACAGGTACATCTACAAGCACGTCTACGTCACTGACAAAGAGACAGGTGAGCCCGGGTTCGAACCCCAGTGAGGACCTCAGCATCCTCTAACGTCTTCAGTTTCTCTGATAGGCCACAGGGTCTGAAAATGTGATAGACTATTCCAGTGCTTTCACCTTTCGCCACAATTCTGTATTTAGTCTGAGAAGTGTGTTGGTACTTGTCAATATTAACAGTGTCTTTCAGGGATCTCCATCCCTATCCCCCTCCACCCCGGAGCACGTACACCTCTCTCCCCCCACCCACAGTAGAATCTATAAATATAATTCTCTTTATGAGGACCATACGAGACATATACTTTAATCTACGAAAGTTTCAAATGCTCCTACACCAGTAGAAAAACGTCTAATGAAACCCTGAATACTTACACAACATCCGATTTAACATGTCAACATGTCTAAACTAATTATCTTCTATGCACTTAGCTAATCTTAGTTTTGGTATACTAACTACTGATCTCAGTTTTGGTATTTAAACGAACCACTGATTAATTAAACTGTAGGGGAGCTCCGAGTGAAAAAAGTCTACACACTGAACGACCCCCCACCCCACGGGCTGGAGATCATCAAGGGCAGCACCTACGGGACATTTTCGCGGGCTTTTGTAGAGTTCGCCCTCCACGACAAGATAGCCGTGGACTTCCTCAACTGGAGCAGGACCATCAAGAGCCCGGATGAATATTTCTGGGGAACTCTCCACCACAGTAAGACGATAAATGTCCCCGGAGGTTTTAAAGGTAAGTCTTTTAGACTATCACTTTTGATTTATTTATTTTAAAATATTAATTAAAACCCGATTTAAACAGTAGGATCATTGTTTTAAATTTTTATTTTTATTTCCATTTTCAATATTTAATCCGCGAATATTATTTCCGGGCTTGACTGCATTATTAAATTGATTATTCTTTGATATTTTAATAGTAGTTAATGTATTATATTTTACAGGAAATCATTTATATTCTGCTTTTGAGTGCATTATTACATAAATACATAAACTAGCTGCAAAGCATGTCGGATCACAGGCAAAAATGTGTTTTTAGTCGTATGGTTTGTAAGGTTCACAGTAGTCTAGGTAAAGTCTTAAGGATAACGTTTGATGAAAACAACATGGAATGAAAACGTGAACAAATATTTCATCCAAATTGAGTACCATTGATTCAATTGATCGGGGGTGGGGGGGGGGGGGGTGGGGGGGGGGCATATCTTATACCACAGGCAACCCCCATAAAAAGCAATGATTTACATCTTTCATAGAAATAAGGGATTTTATTATTTCACAGGCAACATTCATGAAAAACTATGAATCTTTCACTGGAATAATGGCATATATTATTCCTCAGGCCATAAAAAGCCATAATTTACATATTTTACTGAAATAATTGTACTGGCAACATCCATGAAAAACCATGATTTACATCTTTCACTGGAATAATGGCATATCTTATTCCACAGGCCACCCCCATAAAAAACCCTGGCTGACGTCATTCTCCCTATGGAGCACCAACCCCAGCATCAAATGCGCCACCATCTACGTCCACAAGATCTGCATCTTCTCCCCTGAAGACTTCCCCCTCTTCGTCCACCGCGCCCAGCTGTTCGCCAACAAGTTCTACATCACCCACCACCCCGCCGCCCTCCACTGCCTGGATGAGCTCGTCTTTAATCTGACGTTGTCCGGCACAACTCGGGACTTGTCGTTTTACCGGAACTTGCCGTTTGCTATTAAAAATAACACAAAAAGGAAACCGTGAAAAATAAAATACAACTTCCTTGTTCTGCTGCTATGATGATGCTTAAGAAAAGTGAAAACGATGATTAGCGAAACAAAAGATTTCTTTGGATTATAAAAAAGTTAAAACGATGATTAACGAAACAAAAGATATCCTTGGATTATAAAAAAGTGAAAACGATGATTATCGAAACAAAAGATTTTTAGCATGTGCCGTGTCTTTCTATGATGATGGTTAGCTCTATTATTAGCGATTACGTTTTAAACAGAAAGGTGTGTTTGTTATCGAGTTTATTGGTGTGTAGTTACACTACAAGTAATGCATTACTTGTACGGGGTTAGGACCCGATTAAGCCAGAGAGATAAGACCCAAAGACCCACCTAGGAGGGCGGTCTGGGAGGGGCAAGGAATTGTAGAGATATCAGGAGAGTGGGATCACGGAGGGGGGAGGGAGGAGGGGTGTTGAAAAGTTGGAAGAAAAAGGACTGCCAGTAAAGGCTAGAAATAGAAATCAAGACAAGCGGCAGGCTCATGAGATAATGAGAGACACTACTAAAGCAATTAGCCAGGCCATGTTTTAATCCCACGTGGCTGAGTCAGCCCATGGCATCATCTGACGCCGAGTCAGCCCATGATTTAATCTTCTATGACTGAGTCAGTCCATGATTTAATCCTCTATGACTAAGTCAGCCCATGATTTAATCCTCTATGACTAAGTCAGCCCATGATTTAATCCTCTATGACTAAGTCAGCCCATGATTTAATCCTCTATGACTAAGTCAGCCCATGATTTAATCCTCTATGACTAAGTCAGCCCATGATTTAATCCTCTATGACTAAGTCAGCCCATGATTTAATCGTCTGACGCTGAGTCAGCCCATGATTTAATCCTCCAGAGGCGGATTCGGGGGGGGGGGGGGTACATCTGTCACCGGGCGCCGACCCTAGAGGCGCGAAAATAAGCTCATTTCAGCTACTATTTTGAATTATAAATATAAAAAATATACTGGGAGGGGGCGCCAAATTAAAAGTTTGTCCCCGGGCGCCGGGAGGGGGTCGCTACGCCTCTGTAATCTCCCCCCCCCATACTTACAGCCACACCCAACTAAACAAATGATCGAATATCGTGTCATTCGGTCTTTATCTTCGCTGCCCAAGCCCGTATTCATCAAATTTTTGTCAACCAAAAAAACATGATCTCATTATATTTTTTCCTCAGGATAATATCCTCTCAATATTACATGTCATGTTGGGTGATCATGCAATATCTATTCGTAGCCTCGTTCCTATACAGGGCGAGAAAGTACATGTAATACTTGCACATTTCATACTTGTACATTTCATACTTGTACATTTCACACTTGTACATACACTGCAAAGATAAAATATTTATTAAATGTGATTGTTTGTGCAAGTTAACAAATCTGTTTTTTTAAATTATTGTTGTTGTTTTTTTAAAGTTGATTATTTGTGTCAATGTCCGAGTTGTTAAAAATGCAATTTAATTAAAATAACTTATTTCAAAATACTTTTGCTTTTGCTGTCTATAATCAAAGTAGATGGACGATTATAAGGCGCGTAGTGCCTGCATCTTGAACGTGCCTTAACACAGTGGTCACAAATCTACACGGTCTGTAGGTGATATAATAGATGATAATTTGTGCTAATTAATACATCACTTGAGCTCGAGTCCTTTAGGATAGTCACACGGTGAATGTCAAGGCCACTCGGCTTAGATTTGACCCTTATCCCTTCAATCGGGGACAGCATAGAAGTAGAAAAAAAAATCTGCTCAATCTGCCTTACAGAGCACGGGTTCAGTACGACCTCAGCGCGACCTTGATGCCAAGAGCACGACCTTAGCGTCAAGGGCACGTCCTCAGCCCAAAGCCACGACATCAGCGTCAAGGGCACGACCTCAGCGTCAAGGGCACGACCTCAGTGTCAAGGGCACGACCTCAGCGTCAAGGGCACGACCTCAGCGGCAAGGGCACGACCTCAGTGTCAAGGGCACGACCTCAGCGTCAAGGGCACGTCCTCAGCCCAAAGCCACGACCTCAACGCCAAGGGCACGACCTCAACGTCAAGGGCACGACCTCAGCGTCAAGGGCATGACCTCGGCGTCAAGGGCACAACCTCAGCACAAAGCCACGACATCAGCGCCGTAGTATAAGAAGGCGCCGATGTATGTGGGTGGATACGCTTCTGTTCATTCAAAGCGGGTTAGCGGCGTGTTCAACTGTAAACATGACAGTTGTAAAGTTGGTGTAATTGTTGATGTGGGTTTAATTGCCGGTGTCGGTTTAACTGATGATGCTAGTTTAACGGTTAAAGTAGTTTAACTGTGTGTGTTGGTTTAATTGCCGATGTCGGTTTAACTGATCATGTTAGTTCAATGGTTAAAGTAGTTTAACTGTGTATGTTGGTTGAATTCATGATGTTGGTTTAATTTATTATGTTAGTTTAACGGTTAAAGTAGTCAACTGTTTATGTTGGCTTGATTGCTGATGTAGGTTTAAACGGCTATTGTTGATTTGTTAAAAATCTGTTCATATTTTTTTTAACTTGCATTATGAAGGTAGTTTCTGTCAAATGTAAAAAAATAAAAAAATAAATAGGGTATATAACTCCAGCTATGTTGTTGTATTCATTCTAAATGTTTGTTAGAGTTATCTCCTGGTGATTACATTCGATGAAACAAAGCCAAATTGTGATGCGAGCAGTGAAATTGTTTTTCTTCTTGTCACAAGCCTCTAGATTAAAAAAAAATATGTCCTCAAAATGAAATGGACAAACGGTAAGTTGTCACGATATTTAACTTCAGTTGATCATGTCGGGGGGAAATAATTTCGGCCTATTGATGACATAAACATAGTTTTCAATCACCTTATAAGTAAGTAAAGTAAAAGTCAAGTAAAGTTTCCCTTTCAAACCTGGCGGTCTATAGGGCAAGTCAAGTAGAGTTCACTTGTTTTTGTGAAATCGGCATATGAATAGAGAGTGTTACTTTACTTTCCCTAACGTGAGTTAGGTACCCATCAGAGTTGGGTGGACTCAGGGACGGTCTACTGACTTGAACACGGATTCGAACTCGGGGCTTACGGGTTAGCAGTCCAGCTTTCTACTGCTAGACCACTCCGTCCCTATATAAGTAAGTAAAATGTACATTAAAGTTAGTTCCCTTTCCTAACCTGACGGTCCATGGGGCAAGTGAAGGAGAGTTCACCTGTTTCTGTGACCTCGGCATATGAAGAGACAGTGTGGTCAGAACTCTGCCCAGCCGACTTTACTTTCCCTGACTTTTCCATCAGAGCTGGGTGGGTGGACTCAGCGACGTAGTACTGACTTTCGGGTTACTAGTCTAGCGCTCTACCTCTAGGCCACACCTTATAGACATCATTTTAAAAACGTTGTCGGCCAACTCTCAAAGGTGGAGTGACGGCCATCTTGCAAACAAAAGAAATGCAGAGATAGTGGGTGGGGCCAGCATGTTGACGTCAATACAGTTTGAAACTGCTCTATACATGAATGATTGATTGCATATTCATACATTACATTTTTTTTTTAATTCCATGGCGATGTGATAGCTTGAATTATAAAAAAAATTGAATGACTATCAGACATGGCTATAGACTTTTTTTTTTGGTTAGTTTATTGTTTACTACATACTGTGTGAAAAAGTAAGAATGAAAGACAAATGGAAAAAACAGCGTATAAATAGAGAGAGAGAGACATATCAGTAGTATAGTTAGGGTAAAGGAGAGGTAAAGAAACTTGGACTGCCTAAGGGAGTCTATTGGGGAGAAAGTGACACTGCCGTTGTCTGAGTCAACTAAGAGTTGGTTTCTCTCCCTTTGAAATGTATGTAGAACGAGCCGACGAGGAAATAAATAAGCCAATATGTAAGTGGGTTGTCAAAATCAAGAGACCGATATAGGCTGAAAAAAAAATTATCGCTGCCCTTCTTATTGCATTAAAAATGTAAATGTTTATGTCAAAAGACTCGAAATCCAGATACAGTTGCGACAGTAAAGAAAATTAAGCTGAATCGTGTTGATTTGATTAATTCCTAGATCATTCTTTCAATCATCAATCACAATTGACACAATCGGGTGAAAAGTGTGCGTGGGGGGGGGGGGGAGTAACGCCAAATGGAAATTTGACTTTGTTTTTCTAGACAAGATAAAACGTATACGGATTGCATTCATTAAAAAAACATATTAATACAATGGTTTAATCACATATAGGGTTAGATGAATGGGTTAAAATAGAAGATGGAAACATTGCCATTTTTTTAGGCAGGTAACACATACACGGGGTTTAAATATATGCAGTGGTATAGTGGGGGAAGAGTATAGGTGGTGGCGGATATATCAAAGGGGGGGGGGAACAATGTCGTCCACTTAATTACAATACACAATCAATAAATAATTAGCTCTCGTGAACTGTGAGCATGTCTTCTATCCGTCCCCCTTGGTTGGGGATTTGTAATTCATAAGAGAAGCCACCCAGGCCACTGCCCCACCCCCAAAGATATTTCTAAATCAAATTCTGACTTACCGATTTTTTTTATAAAAACAAGCTCCTAGTTTCTTAGGTATATGTTTTTTCCCTACCCCATAGGGCTGGTAAGTAGGTCACCAACCAGCTCTATGGCTCATGCAGGTTTTATTAAGCCATAGAACTGGTTGGTGACCTACTTACCAGCCCTATAGATGTTTTATCTATTGATAGAATCTAAAATTGTTCTGGCCACCTATGTGTTTGCTTGATCTCCGTGGCCTTTCGTATCATGTCATCCACTCTATTCAAATAATCACGTCAAAGACGACATCTAGATCTACGGCGTCTTTTCTTTTTCTAGTTTTTAGGATTAGTTTGTAGATAACAAAGTTTGGCAATTAAAGCCTTTAAAAAATCAAATCAAATCAAATCAAAAAGACATTGGCAAACCTCTTGTTCTGCTTGTTTTGTTGTTCTATTTCATATTCAGATCAAACGATTCTATTGTTTACGTTCTCCTAGAAAAAAAAGTCACAAAGGTAAAATATTTTTATTTTCATGGCATTGATAGATTGTGGTGTTTCTAAAAAAAAAAAGAAAAACTCCGTGAAATATAACCTAATCCCTTCACACGCTACATAATCCAATACTTGCATAAGAGTAAAAATTCAATTTTCAAAACTCTTTGAAGTTAAATTTACTAACACATGTCACCGTGTAAAATGCACATCTCAAAGTGGGCACTACGACAACTATGGTGGTCTCTGTAACGAGGTAACTAGCCAACTCTCAACACAATATGCACAGATAAGAAGCTCTCTCCAAGGTGCGAAATGTGCAGCACCGAAACGCACAAGATTAGAATCATTTGTAAGTGAAGTTGTTTGTTGACCTCAGGAAGTGCGACTGTACTAAAGACAGTTTCCGCGTTCATCGCTATCCAAATGTAAGTCCGTGTTGATGTGTATACAGAAACTTTAAAAGAGATTTATAAATTAGGATGTGTCGCTTAGATCTAGATCTAGATCCATCATCTCCGCCAAGACTCCATTTGTGTACATTTGGTAAGATTTCGATAAGACGTTTTTGTTGACTTTTTAGTTTTTGTAAATGCGGCAGAAACATTCCCTATGACACTAGCCCTAACACTAATCTTAATCCCTAATCCTAACGCTGATTGGCCAATTATAGTTCTCCTAACCTTAACCGCCATGATTTCAGAAGAAATACATACAATCAAAAATTATCACACGGACTTGTCGAATTTTCGATTTTAAAAAATCAAGATTTGAATAGTTATATTTTATATGTTTCCAGCTAGGAAAAATACATTATACTCTTCGAGCAGATTTTGTCATTAGGATTCGAGTTCAGAGTATTTTCCAGGCATCTCTTCGGGGGTGGGGTGGGGTGGGGGGGGGGGGGGGAGGCACTCTGAAAAATGTCTACTGCCCCCCCCCACCAACGAAATAGAATTTATATATACGGAAATTTTAGTCCGCCCTCCCCCTCCCCTCGAATAATTCAAGTGCCCCCACCCCCACCCCGGAGAACAAAGTCTGGAAGGAACAAGAAACACTTTTTCGAGTTAGATTCTATGGCCGGATAAAAGAATTCAAATTACCAGTTTCACATACTAAAACGTTGGCCGAATGTGTCTGGTCTAAGGGGTCATCCATAAATGACGTCACACTCGTAGGGGGGAGGGGGGGTCCGTAATTTTGTGACGATGTGTGATGAGGGGGAGGGGGGGGGGGGGTCAGATGTTGCGACGTCACATTTTTGCATTATAAAAAAGCAATGTTAGAAAACGAATTTTAGACGTTATTTCGCGTTTTAGATAACTGTTTTAATAAATTGTAATAGTTTAGACAAGATTTTGGAAAAATATCAATGTTTTTAAAAAAATCAACTGCAATTTTGAGGGGGGTTGTAGGTTGAGGTGTGACGTCATTTTAGGGGGGGGGGTCTGGCTTTTTGTGACGAAGTGCGACGGAGGGGAGGGGGGAGGTAAAAATCATCCAAAAAAGCGTGACGTCATTTATGGATGACCCCTAACACTGACCATAAACGTGGACCTGACCCTTGCATGTACCCTAAACTTTACCTTGATGGACACAAAGGTGCCTGTAGAGAAACAAATCATCAACAGGCTTGTTGTGTCGTTCTGGCGTTTTTTTCTACAAAACAGATCCAATATTTGTTACAGACCAGTGGTTCTAAACCTTTTTGGAGGTACCAGCCCCCCCCCCCCCCCCCCCCACTCTCATAACATTCACCGAACCCTTCTTAATAGTTCTATCGTCCGCACTGACAAAATCGATCGTGAATCATATATCGGGTGTGTGTCTTGATCCCTGCCGAACCCCTGAGGCTGACTCACCGAACCCACGGGGGTCGATCGAACCCAGATTTAGAACCACTGTTATAGACGGACCCCGTATGTTTATAGACGGCTGAGTCAACAAATTGAGTGGTTAATGGGTGGATCTGTAAACAGATTACAGATGGATCAGTTGATGGATGCACATAATAGAAAAGGATTTGCTATTGTGTTAGAGAATTAGGGTCAGCAAGTGAGGGAGGTTTGGTGCAACATTGTTATTAAGGCCAAAGAACATTAGGTGCAACATTGTTTTAAGGCCAAAGAACATTAGGTGCAACATTGTTTTAAGGCCAAAGAACATTAGATGCAACATTGTTTTAAGGCCAAAGAACATTAGATGCAACATTGTTTTAAGGCCAAAGAACATTAGGTGCAACATTGTTTTAAGGCCAAAGAACATTAGGTGCAACATTGTTTTAAGGCCAAAGAACATTAAGTGCAACATTGTTTTAAGGTCAAAGAACATTAGGTGCAACATTGTTTTAAGGCCAAAGAACATTAAGTGCAACCTTGTTATTAAGGCCAAAGAACATTAGGTGCAAGATTGTTTTAAGGCCAAAGAACATTGGGTGCAAGATTGTTTTAAGGCCAAAGAACATTAGGTGCAACCTTGTTTTTAAGGTCAAAGAACATTAGGTGCAACATTGTTTTAAGGTCAAAGAACATTAGGTGCAACATTGTTTTAAGGCCAAAGAACATTAAGTGCAACCTTGTTATTAAGGCCAAAGAACATTAGGTGCAAGATTGTTTTAAGGTCAAAGAACATTAGGTGCAACATTGTTTTAAAGCCAAAGAACATTAAGTGCAACCTTGTTATTAAGGCCAAAGAACATTAGGTGCAACATTGTTTTAAGGCCAAAGAACATTAGGTGCAACATTGTTTTAAGGCCAAAGAACATTAGATGCAACATTGTTTTAAGGCCAAAGAACATTAGATGCAACATTGTTTTAAGGCCAAAGAACATTAGGTGCAACATTGTTTTAAGGCCAAAGAACATTAGATGCAACATTGTTTTAAGGCCAAAGAACATTAGATGCAACATTGTTTTAAGGCCAAAGAACATTAGGTGCAACATTGTTTTAAGGCCAAAGAACATTAGGTGCAACATTGTTTTAAGGCCAAAGAACATTAAGTGCAACATTGTTTTAAGGTCAAAGAACATTAGGTGCAACATTGTTTTAAGGCCAAAGAACATTAAGTGCAACCTTGTTATTAAGGCCAAAGAACATTAGGTGCAAGATTGTTTTAAGGCCAAAGAACATTGGGTGCAAGATTGTTTTAAGGCCAAAGAACATTAGGTGCAACCTTGTTTTTAAGGTCAAAGAACATTAGGTGCAACATTGTTTTAAGGTCAAAGAACATTAGGTGCAACATTGTTTTAAGGCCAAAGAACATTAAGTGCAACCTTGTTATTAAGGCCAAAGAACATTAGGTGCAAGATTGTTTTAAGGTCAAAGAACATTAGGTGCAACATTGTTTTAAAGCCAAAGAACATTAAGTGCAACCTTGTTATTAAGGCCAAAGAACATTAGGTGCAACATTGTTTTAAGGCCAAAGAGCATTAGGTGCAACATTGTTTTAAGGCCAAAGAACATTAGATGCAACATTGTTTTAAGGCCAAAGAACATTAGATGCAACATTGTTTTAAGGCCAAAGAACATTAGGTGCAACATTGTTTTAAGGCCAAAAAACATTAGGTGCAACATTGTTTTAAGGCCAAAGAACATTAAGTGCAACATTGTTTTAAGGCCAAAGAACATTAGGTGCAAGATTGTTTTAAGGCCAAAGAACATTGGGTGCAAGATTGTTTTAAGGCCAAAGAACATTAGGTGCAACCTTGTTTTTAAGGTCAAAGAACATTAGGTGCAACATTGTTTTAAGGTCAAAGAACATTAGGTGCAACATAGTTTTAAGGCCAAAGAACATTAAGTGCAACCTTGTTATTAAGGCCAAAGAACATTACGTGCAAGATTGTTTTAAGGCCAAAGAACATTAGGTGCAACATAGTTTTAAAGCCAAAGAACATTAAGTGCAACCTTGTTATTAAGGCCAAAGAACATTAGGTGCAACATTGTTTTAAAGCCAAAGAACATTAGGTGCAACATTGTTTTAAGGCCAAAGAACATTAGGTGCAACCTTTTTTTTTAAGGTTAAAGAACATTAGGTGCAACATTTTTAAGGCCAAAGAACATTAGGTTTAAGGTGAAAGAACAACCTTGTTTTTAAGGTCAAAGAAAATTAGGGTTAAGGTCAAAGAACGTTAGGTGCAACATTGTTTTTAAGGCCAAAGAACATTAGTGGCAACATTGTTTTTAAGGTCAAAGAACGTTAGGTGCAAACTGGTTTATACGGTCAAATCAACTTTAGTTGCACTTGTGTTGTAGGTGAATGAAACATTAGGTACATACATGTTTTTAATTTAATTTACTGTCTAGTATCGCTACCCAACCCCTAATCTGTCCGTAAACCTACCCCTAACTCGACCCTCAACCCTGACCCGATATCTAAACTTGGCTCTAGTGTTGATTTCAACTTAAGTGCAACCTAGACCTAACTGTGATACCGGCTCTGGTCTTGATTTCAACCATGTCTCTAAACTTAAGCATAACCTAGACCTAACTGCGATACTGGCTCTAGTCTTGATTTCAACCATGCCTCTAAACTTAAGCATAACCTAGACCTAACTGCGATACTGGCTCTAGTCTTGATTTCAACCATGTCTCTAAACTAAAGCACAACCTAGACCTAACTGCGATACTGGCTCTAGTCTTGATTTCAACCTTGTCTCTAAACTAAAGCATAACCTAGACCTAACTGCGATACCGATAGAAGAAATAAAAGCTTAATGCAAACTGTATTGTGCTAATGGTGTCTTTAAAAATGTGAAACGGTCTCTGAGTCGACTCAGCTCGAAAGTGTACCTGACTCGTTGAAAAAGTAAAAGAAATCTAGTCATAGTGACGACCAAATCAACCCATAAAGAAAGTCCCCAAAAAACAACAACAGATGAACTCTACTTTATCTGCTCTATTCGCCATACGAACCGCAGTGATACTTTCTTTAGAATGGTCGTCAGTATAAAATCCACACTATCTTTGCTAATATTTCTACATTATTCCTAATCCCTAAATCTAGCCCTAAGCTGTTGCTGAGATAATCCTACACATACTCTAGGCCCATATACTATGTGTACACATTATTTCAGATAAAAATAATAATAATAAGAGAAAGAGAGTATTCCATGCACATAAATCTTAAGATGGGTTGCCACTAGCAACGCGCATCCGATTAGATCGCCATACATGAATTGGACTTGGTCGGGGCACAAAAAAAACCTTTTAAGCAGAATCGATTTGATTAACCTTTCGGAAGCCGCGATCAGCGTTCCCATGGTTACCCGCGTTCAATAATCGTGCCGTCTCGAGGCGGGTAGATGACGGGCTGCGCGCCCAGTCGTCCACTTGTTTTCGTTGGGATTTCGTCTTGGCGCGATCCGGAAGTCAGTGGTGAGTTGCTGATTTTATTTTTTGATACGTAAATAGCCTGTTGATTACGCGAGCTTGTTCTTGCGTTATTTACACTGCTGTTGACGACGGGGTTGTGTCTTTTGTTGTTATTGTTTAAACACATGAATATTTTAGGTATCGATTCGGAGTTTTTATAACTATAGCTATCCGGTTTAAGTCTGAATAAAGGTTAGAGCTAGGGCTAGGGTCAAATGGTAGTTTAAGGATTAGAAACAAGGTTTGTGTCAGGACTAGAGTAAGGTGTAATGTTAGAGCTGGGTTACAGAGTAGCGATACTAGCAAAATGATAGCATCGAATACGTCCAGAGAACGTATTAAATAAATAGGCCTACTTTTTTTTGTATTTGCTGCTGTGAATATTGCCTGATGGACCAGATCATTTTGTTGACATTGACGAATACGTTGTTCGACTATTTCGTCTTCTGAGTATCTCTTACTCTCTAAAAATAGCTTTGAGATTAAAGCTGAAAAATTATATTTTAAGAATTTGTGGTATAAAATTTACCAATGTGGACAACTTGAAACTATTTTTCCTTTGGGCTACATTTCTGTTTACATATGCCTGTCAGATATGTTATTTTGACGTTTCAGTTTTGTAAAATTCGCTACTATCTTTAAAAGACCATCATTATTTTTGTGTTTGCTTTTCCAGTAAATATTTGGATTCTTACGAGTTTGATTGATAGTGTGTTTTAACAAACGCATCAGAAAACTAAAAATATCTATTTATCGGTGATTTCCTATAGTTTGTAATAAAACTCAAAGTCAGTAAGTTTAGTTATCACGTAACCAAAATTTATTTGGTGACGAAAATAAGACAAATATTTTTAAAAAATTCAGTCTTGTTTAGTTACCGAATAACTAACAATTAATTTTTAAAAATACACAATACATGAATTTAAAATCACATGTTTTGATAACACTGCAAACGTTTTTACATTTGATCTTCTTTCTTTTGAGAATATTCTGGTTAGATGCCGTTTACCCCACAAGTTGGATGTTATAGATTTTGATTGTTGTGTTACTGGTTTTTTTATAGTAAAGTATATAAGTGCTGTTTATGAAATTATTTTTATAATAATAGTTAAAATATAGTAAATGTTTCACTGTTTTAATAAATAATATATAAATTTCCTACACCAGTACTCACCACTTAAAAAACCCACAGTAAATACTCTCCTGCAGGCGATTAAATAATACAATTTTTGTACTTTGATGGTAGTATACGTGTTTTATGACGAGAGTGAAATACAAACTCATCTTTATATATCTCTAACCCATGCGGGACATCCCTCGAAATAAAGAAATAAGAAGCCAGATTGTCATGGCTGTGGTTAAAATTATACATACACCAAATGAGATCGTTTGTGTCGCTTTAACTCTTTACTCCCCGGGGAGCCAAAAGAAATAGGAGGAAGGAAGTTAAACAAAAATTTAGATTAAAGCTTCCCTTTATAAATGTTTTTTTTGTCGAATAATTTCTTCCCGAACCACATCCATTTCTTTTTATTCCTTTGGGAGAATGACCGAAAATTGTATCCCCCCCCCCCCCCCAATGTAATCGTCAACAGTTTCCTGATAGGTGATTGTCTCAAGCAGTTCGCTCTGGTTACTTCCCTTCTTGTCTTGTTTGAAGGTAGATCTGAATTCGAAATTGTATCCCCTTACAATCCTCTTTAGACCTAGCAAACACTCGGCCGTCTGCTGCCAATAGCCGACCCTGCTCGACGGGGATTTTGAATGTCGACAGAAGTAAATCAAAACAAAAATAACGTTTCTAGATTATGTTCGCAGTAGATTTCTTTCTTTTTTTTCAGTCTTAGCTAAGCCCAGTTTTGGAGTCATATATCATTTATTCTTAGCTAAGTACAGTTTAGCAGCCGTATATATTTTGTTTAAACCGTTAGCTAAATGCAGTGTAGCAACCATATACATTTTGTTATAGCCGTTAGTTTGGTCCATTTCTGCTGCCATATAATAATAATAATATGGCTTATTGGATGAATGTGCATTGGCAATCCAAGCACAAAGACTGGACAGTAAGATGAGAAGAGCCAGATGTTGCCCATGTGTTACACCCCACACAGCTGATGGACCCTAGGGACAGAGGCGTAGCAACCTTTCCCGGCGCCCGGGGCGAACATTCAGTTTGGCGCCCCCCCCCCCATATATATATATATATATATATATATATATATATATATATATATATATATATAATATATATATATGTAACGAGCGAGCAGTTATCCTGTCCGACGACGCCAATTGTAACGAGCGAACAGTTACCCTGCTCGCAACGCCACATGTTACGAGATTATTTGCCTGTAGTGCCAAATGTAACGAGTTTAACCACTCATGCTACACAACATCGACTACAGTAGAAATACTCGAAGATGCAGGTTCGCTATTGATCCTTTTATTACATGAATCAAGAAATGCTTCAATATAACACAATGAATCAACAGGAATGCTTCACAATAATAGTCTGAATCAACTGACCCCTAACAGTCCTCACTAGGCTTCATATAACTGAATCCACATGTCCATCCTTCCTATCCTCACATAGCACACACGTCTACCCCGTTCCACAGCCAACTGGATACTCCCCGCTCTACAGTTCACCGTCTCATTATATCTCACGTACATGTAATAGTTTCCATTAGTTGCATCAGCCTGTCAACTGCGCCGCGGCTTTGCGTTCGTTATCAGTCTACCATCTGCACTATTGCATCAGACTGTAATACGTTGTTAACCATAGTATGGTAACTACCCTAGTTACATCCACCCCCGCCTTTTTTTGTGTGTTTTCAACCACAAACAACGCTTGGCAGGTGCACTCCTTCAATGTCAAAAACACCACCGTAAAAAAAATTTATTGTTCCACTCACTGTCAATGTCGTCACATTCGTAAAAGATTGACAGTTATCCCTATTTCACATATCAAATGTGTCTACATCATATTCCTCAGACACAAAGCAGTTCTAGAATTCACATCCACCTTTTTTCGTTTGGTGTCTTCACCAGTTCACTTTGATAGCTTTTGAACAGTCTGTTCTCATCCCAGCGCGACCATGAAAGAATTGATGGTTGCTGACAAAAAATTTCGTATTCTTTCTGTTTCTCAAACTTCTCCGCGGACCACTTATCTGATGGTCTACTGTCTCTCTGCTTCTGGAAGGAACGGGATCCTCTTTGTTGCCGTTATCCTTCACTTGTGTATCGCGGTTGTTCTGTTGATGGTGATATGGTTCCGGGATGGGTATGTGAATTTCCGTTGTAACTTCCGGTCCCCTAATTGTCTTAGGTTTCTCTGTGTGTAACTGCTCTTCTTGCCTATTCCAATATTTCTTTAATTGAGCAATATTCGCCCACCGATCCGGTTTGGCGTGATCGATGGGTCTTATCTTAAAGGGGCCACCTGCTACTTTAGGCATCTCCACGACTTGCCATATCTCCTGTCCCCAGAGATCGTGGATTTTGTTTCTGCCTAACGGGTGGCTACGCAGTAATACCCTGTCGTTCAGTTTGAGTGGCGGGTCCTTTGTCTGTACCGGCGGTTCCCTTCGCCGTGCTTCATGTTCTAGTCTTTCCTGTACTACCCTGTACATTTCTCTAATTCTTCTCATATGTTCATTCACATATTCCAGTGCGGTGTATGAGCCAGTCATACTCTCCCTTTTTCCTAGGAACAAATCAAGAGGGAGTCGAGCCTCCCGTCCGAACAGCAACATGTGTGGCGCAAAGCCGGTTGTGGCATGGGGGGTGCAGTTGTATAGATATACCAACTCTGGGAGAAAATCCGGCCAACGTTTTTTCTGTTCAGGTTCTAGGGTACGCAGCAAATCATGCATGCTGCGGTTGAACCGTTCACACTGTCCGTTTCCTTTCGGATTAAATGTGGTTGTTCTAGACTTGTTGATCCCGTAGTGGCTGCACAGTTGGTTAATTACTTCTGACTCGAAAGCCCTTCCTTGGTCAGAGTGTAATTGTCTTGGTATGCCATATTTGATGAACCAATGGTCTATTAAGACCTTTGCCACTGTTTTGGCAGTCTGATCTCGTGTGGGCACCGCCACAGTCCATTTGGTGAATACATCAGTCATTACCAACACATGTTCCGTCCCATCCGATGATTGCTCCAACGACGTAAAGTCCATAGCCACAATCTCTAGTGGTTTTGTCGCTAATAGGTGTCCCGATGGCTGTCTCATTTTGACAACTGGCATTTTCGCATGCTGACACCTCACACAAGCCTCACAATGGCGTTTGACCTCCATTTCCATATTGGGCCAGTAACACCTTCGTCGTAATATTTTGTGCGTCCTGTCCTGACCCTGGTGTCCTGCCCTGTCATGTGCCAACCTTAGCACTTCTTCTCGTAATTGTCCAGGCACCACCACCTGGTGTATTGTCCCATCAATTTGGTCATGAATTCTCCGCATGAGAACACCATCCTGTATACTGAGACGGTCCCACTGACTCAGTATTTTCTTTGTTTCTCGACCAAATTGTTCTCTTTCCCTTCTTCCTGGGAATTTTTGTTCCTGGACGTGTTTCAACAGCGGCTGTAAGCCACTATCCGTTCTCTGGGCATCTCTTATCTCTTTGTGATTAAGGCAACTAAAATCACCAATGTCCATATGTCCGGGCTCTGTGGAAATGTGCTCCACCCCGGTCTGTCCGTTCTGCCTCACTTGCACCCCGTGAGGGATATCTGTTGACGCTCTGACCTCACATATTCCTGTCAGCGTTTCTTCCTCATCGCCCGGTCTCTCGTAAGGATTCCTTGATAAGGCGTCCGCATTGCCGTTGGACCGCCCCGGGCGATATTTTATCTCTAGGTCAAAGAGTGCCAATTCTGCTGCCCATCGCTGTTCGATGGATCCCAACTTTGCTGTCTTTAGGTGACTCAAGGGGTTATTGTCAGTGTATACCACACATTTAGCACCTAATAGATAGTCCCTGAATTTTTCCGT